GCAAAAAAGTGTATCGACAGGTTGTAGGTATTCCTATGGGCACTAATTGAACCCCTTTAATAGTAGACTTGTTCTTGTACTGTTATGAATCACAGTTTATGTCCAAACCCAGTAAGTCTAAATTGCATTTAATTGATAAATTCAACAACACTTGTCGTTATCTTGATGATATTTTTGCGTTCAATAATCAAGAATTTTCAAAATATACTGCCGAAGTTTACACAAAGGATTACTTTAAATAAATCAAATATAAACGGTAATAACTGTCGTTTCCTAGCTAGATTTAGATATTTCAGTTCTACACAAGAAACTCTACACAAAAAATTACGACAAAAGGGACAATTTTTCTTTCCCTATTGTTAATTTTCCTTTTTTGGATGGTGATGTTCCTTTGGAACCATCTTACGGTGTTTATATATCACAACTCGTTTGTTGTGTCCGTGTCTGAAGTGACGTTTTGGATTTTAATGAACGTAATCTATGGTTAACTGGTAAATTATTAAGTCAAGGATTTCTTTATCACAAATAACTTAAGACCTTTACTGAGTTCTTCCATAGATACAAAGATTTGATTTGGAAGTTTGGCTGTCCTGTAGAAAACCTATTTCAAACGGGATAGCACATCCTACTGTTTACGAAGGTGATGTTTACCGAGCCCGGAAATTTAGATACGATCCGGGTAAATTTATCGATTCTCCAGCAAAATAAACTTATTCGAAAAGGTTACCAAATCAACACTGTAAAATTATCTTTGAATATTGTTTTTCTTGGTATAAATATTGATTTTGTTATCAGTATATTAAAACCAAACTAATATTATTGTTATATACATAAACATATACATATGCACATTCACGGTTCTACAATCTTTCGATACCTTTATTTTGGCATTGCACAAGGTCATGTATTTCTCTGACTGTAAATGACGTCCCTACACTAAATCCATTGGATGCTGGATGTGTACTGATTGATATTTAAGTCTTACATGATTTTGTTTTTAATTTGTTATTGGCTTTGAACTAGCTATCAGTAACTGCGAGTACTCTCAGATCTGTACTTGGTGTCTTTTTTGTTGTGGGGATGTAATAAATAACACGGTCTGTGTTTTTGTTACTTGTTTTTCTGTTTTGTATCGATCTGATGAGTTAAGTCCTTTCCAACTGATTGTTATAATTTGTTCATATGTTGTGCTGTTACACCACTGTTCCAGGTTAGGAGGAGGGTTTGGTGCCCTTAATCATGTTTAACCCCGCCACATTCTGTATGTAGCTGTCTCAAGTCAGGAGCCTGTAATTCAGTGGTTGTTGTTTGTTGCTGTATATCATATTTGTTTTTCGTTCATTGACTTTTGTTTTGTTTCTACATAAAACAGGCCGCTAGTTTTTTCGTTTGAATTGTTTTAAATTTTTGTCATTTCGGGGCCTTTTATATCTGACTATGCGGAATGGGTATTGTTCATTGTTGAAGACTGTACGGTAACCTATAATTATTAACTTCTATGTCATTTGGTCTCTGGTGGAGAGTTGTCTTATTGGCAATTTTACCACATCTCCATATTTTTATATTCAAATTTAGATAAATTGGGAAATTTGATATGACGTTTAAATGAAGAAAAAACAACGAAACTGCACTAAACAATGACGACAAGCCACTACATAGGCACTCGTATCTGAAAAAAAAACCCTTCTGTATACACGTATTTTATTCACGTACATCAGAAGGGTGATTTTCATCCTCCCACACACATCTCTGTTACCTAGACCGGAGTTGAAACTAGAATGGGTACTATGGGGGACTCGGTAGGCCAAAGTTGCCCCCTACTTTGACCTGGAGATCAATCTTCTGAAATCTCTTCGGTTTGTCTGTTCCCGCCGAGCAGAACGGTGATTCTCTCCGAGTACTTCGGCTTCCTCCACCATAATAACAGACTGCCTGGTGGCCTAGCACTCCCTTTGTGTTGGGGTGGGGGATTGTCCTTGTAAATTTTGTTGTAAATTCGTTAGTGACACATCTCCATTAATCCCGATTGGGAGTGTACACGGATTCCACTGTACCCTCGCAGCTCTCGAGGGGTGATCCGAATAACGGAGGGATCTACGTACATACATACAGTGCCTGTGTATTATACAATATACAATATTTTATTTTCCAAATTAAAGGGCCCATTAAGAGCATAACATTAATAACAAAATGGCATAAACATTACAGAGTGATTAAAGAAACATGAAATAACAGTTCAAATGCACGAGGAAGGGTCAGTGGTCAAGGGAGATAATTTTGCTATCTATTAGAGTATTTAACTAATTTTCTGATTTTCTAAGTTGCAGGCCTTTACCAAGGTATGCCATAACAATCATGAAAAACACGTGCCGTATTTTTTTTGCATTGAAACCATCCAATTAAACCTAAGTACGCTTAACTGCTAAGTTTATTCCATTGATGCCTGTTATCAAGAACATCATAGCTTGATGCAAATTCATGAAAATTAGTTTTGTTGACATCTTTATTACAGTACTTGAATAGAATTATGTTTTGCAACATAGTTTGAGAGGAGTGCGGCGTGCCTCAGTGCTCGAATGTATAATTTATGATTGAGGAACTCGCGGACAGGAAAGGTAAAATGTGTATTACTGATCGTGAACATCAAGTTTCAAGTGATTTTGAGTTGTTTCCACTGCTCGACATGTACACGTTCAGTAAACTTTGAAATTAGGGTGAACATTGTATTTTTTTATATAGTATTAAAATTTACCCAACAATAAACATGAGAAATAATTTCAAGTTAATCTGGCTCAACTCCATGATATAGTACAGGTCTTGGTATAAAACTTTAACCTCACACAGGACAGACGAACCGAATTTCAGACGGACGCGTATACAAGAAAAGATATTGCCCTACTTCTTTCGCGGGTAGGACATAAAAAGACCAAAAGTGCGTAAACTGAATTGGAAATAGGGTTCTTCAGTGTCTAAACATTGAAAAAGGGCACTTTTTGGTGATACCCAATTTTAAAAGATGAAAGCAATACCTATTCTTCATATGCTTTGTCAAGGTTATGTAATCATATAGATGATTTATTTAGCTTTTTATCAGTGTTACAACAAGGTAATACCTGTTCCTACGTGTATATTGACTTTACTGCGTTCGATGCCATTTTCTTTATCTTCGCAAATCCACAAAGTACTTTACAAATTAGCTTTTGTTCATAGATCGTAATTTAAAGGCAATAAGTCATATAAATAGTTACTATTAAGCGCATTTCCAATAAAGTTATGTACTTTTGTTGGTCTATGTAAGTCCACTGGTAGAGATTAAAAGGGGAGTGTTGAGGTCGAAAACAAGAGGCTCATCTGATCCTCAATCACTAACCTGGTGAAAAAGTGTCAATTTGCTAATGAAGACCATTACATTCATAAACTACTATTTTTGTGTGTGTTGCTGCTCATTTTTGCCATTTTCACTTTTAACCTATCAGCAAATCCCCCCCCCCCCCCCTCCCCGAAAAAAACAACACAAGCTGTGACAATTGGGGGAGAAATGGATATCAAAAACAGGTTGATAGAATTTTCTTATAATCATGTACATAGATCTTGTTGTGCTGGTCATTATTGAAATTCACGTTTTAAATCTAGTACCTATAAAATTCAAGAAAACAGCAAAAACATAACTGAAAATTGCAAAAAAATCTTACAATTCAGTTACAGAAACTTAAGATTTTTTCTGCAGTTTTTCAAGTAAATAGAACTTGCCATTTTACACTTTTAAACTAGCTCCTACAAAACAATAGCAAAGGAACTGCCAAAAAAGTAAAAACAAGTGTGCCCAGCCCATGACGAAATGTCTTGCCTGCTCTACTTATGATTGATTTGATTTGATTTTTTGGTGTTTTAACGCCACTTTTAAGCACCGCTTTTTGGGCTATTTCGTGGTGGTCAGTTTTTATTGGTGGAGGAAGCCGGAGTGCCCGGAGAAAACCATGACCTTCGATAGGAAAACTGACAATCCTAGTCAATTAAGATTGGAGTCGAGTGCACCTGCACAAGCGGGGTTCGAACTCACAACCTCAGTGTTGACTGGCTAGTGATTACAGTAGTAACTTCTTAGACCACTCGGCCACCGAGGCCCCCCTACTTATGATTGAGTTTATGATGAAAGTCTGTAGGTTTTAATACAAGTATTAAATAAACTTAAAATTATCAATGATCCATGAAAATAGGTCACAGTCAGATGAACCATGCAACGCATGTACACCTTACAATCAGTTCATACACCGAAGATAGTGATCCTATTGCCTATAGGTGGTAGTACCTTAGAAATAGATCAAATGCAATATCTTAATATTGATCAATGAACCATGAAAATGAGGTCAAAGTCATATGAACCTTGCCAGACCTACAATCATTCCATTTGCCAAATATGATGACCTATTGCTTTTAGTTTCTGATAAACTGTCAAAACTACAAAAAACTTATTGACCAATGAACAATGAAAATAAAGTCAAGGTCATATGAACCCTGTCAGTCAGACATGTACACCATACAAAAATATAGTGGCCCTATTACTTAAAGTATCTGAGGAATAGACCAAACTACAATAAAATGCTTCGCTGGGGCGCAGCTTGATACGACCGCAGAGGTCGAACCCTGAACAGTTGGGGCAAGTATGGACACAACATTCAAGCTTGATACAGCTCTGAATTTGGATTGTTATTAAATATTTGACACAGCATAGGTTTCTGACACAGAAAGAGTGTGGTCTAAGAACTTGAATTTTTTTAATTTACCTATTATGGTCCAATGTCCAAAATCAAAATACATGGTTAGATTCAGCATATCAAAGAAACCCATATATTCAATTTTTGTTAAAATCAAACAAAGTTTAATTTTGGACCCCAACTTGGACAAACTTGAAAACTGGGCCCATAATCAAAAATCTAAACACATGTTTAGATTCAGCATATCAAAGAACCCCAAGAATTCAATTTTTGCTTAAATCAAACTAAAGTTTAATTTTGGACCCTTTGGACCTTAATGTAGACCAATTTAAAAAACGGGACTTAAAATTAAAAATCTAAATACACGGTTAGATTTGGAATATCAAAGAACCCCAATAATTCAATTTTTGATGAAATCAAACAAAGTTTAATTTTGGACCCTTTTGACCTCAATATGAACCAATTTGATAGCGGGGCCCACAAATAAAAAATCTAAATTCATGGTTAGATTCAGCATATCAAAGAACCCCATATATTCAATTTTTGTTGAAATAAAAAAAAGTATAATTTTGGACCCCAACTTGGACCAACTTGAAAACTGGGCCCATAATCAAAAATCTAAACACATGTTTAGATTCAGCATATCAAAGAACCCCAAGAATTCAATTTTTGTTAAAATCAAACTAAGTTTAATTTTGGACCCTTTGGACCTCAATGAAGACCAATTTAAAAAACGGGACCCAAATTAAAAATCTAAAAACACGGTTAGATTTGGCATATCAAAGAACCCCAATAATTCAATTTTCGATGAAATCAAACAAAGTTTAATTTTGGACCCTTTCGACCTCAATATGAACCAATTTGATAGCGGGGCCTACAAATAAAAAATCTAAATACATGGTTAGATTCAGCATATCAAAGAACCTCATATATTCAATTTTTGTTGAAATCAAACAAAGTTTAATTTTGGACCCCAATTTGGACCAACTTGAAAACTGGGCCAAAAATCAAAAATCTAAATACATGTTTAGATTCAGCATATCAAAGAACCTCATATATTCAATTTTTGCTAAAATCAAACAAAGTTTAATTTTTGACCCTTTGGACATTAATGTAGACCAATTTGAAAACTGGACCCAAAATTAAAAATCTAAATACACTGTTAGATTCGGCATAACAAATAAATAAATGTGATCAAAGATTTTACAAATCTAATGCGCCATACTGTGCAATTAAAGATTACTTCTTGAAATTTTTCAATATTTGAAATTTGAAAAAAAAATAATATTTGAAGAATTAATTCTTTTTAATTTCTGAAATCTGAAATGAGAAAAAATTGGCCCCCCACAATTTCTTTTTATCCCCCCCCCCCCCCCTTTTTCCCCCAAAAAAATTCTTTCCCTCAAGATATGGTCATAATCTCAATTCAAATTTCCAATGGAGTTGGCAACCATAATTACCCATTTAAATTTACCATAGTGCTAACTTAATCTATTTTATAATAGAATTAATAAAAATATAGTGTCAAATCTTTCATATGGATTTTTTTGTAAAAAAAAAAGATGAAAACATTTGCAGATATTTTTACTGGTCTTCCTTTATAAATATGCATTTCTTTAAACATAATTTTGAGGCAGTGTAAGGGAAGTAACCAAAACGTTGTATTTGGATTACCTCCCTTACACTGTTTTAGATTATCTTTATTGTTCATTAACCATTACTTTATACATAATTTAAAAGCAGTGTAAGGGAGATAATTTCAATGATGTATTTGATTTATCTCCCTTACACTGCTTTAAATTATGTTTTGTACTAAAGTATTTGTCCATTAACCAGGACAACCTTGTTTTTTCCCCTTTTTTGCCCCTAATTCCTAAACGGTTTGAGCCATAACCCCCCAAAGCAAATCCTAACCATCCCTTTGTGGTATGGAAACTTGTAGTATAATTTCAGAGATCCATACACCGTTCCACAGTTATTGTCTGGAAACTAGAAAATGCTCATTTTTGGCCCCTTTTTGGCCCCTAATTCCTTAACTGTTGGTACCATAACCCCCAAAATCAATCCCAACCTTCCTTTTGTGGTATTTAACCTTATGGTCAAATTTCAAAAAGATCCATTCACTTAAACTAAAGTTAGAGTGCGAAAACCAATATGTATTCGGACGACGACGCAGGACGACGACGACGACGACGCCAACGTCATACCAATATACGACCACAAAATTTTTTTGCGGTCGTATAAAAAGGAAACATCATCCAATGAACCATAAAATTGAGGTCCAGCTCAGATGAAACCTGCCAGTCAGACATGTACACCTTACAATCATTCCATACACCAAATATGATTGACCTATTGCTTATAGTATGATCTGATAATCGAACTTTACCATGAAATCTTAACCTTGTATGAAAGATGATAGACCTTGCAAGGATCTCATATACCAAATTTAGTTATCCTAATACTCATAATTCCACATGACAAATTTTTTTGTGTTCATTGAACCATGAAAATGAAGGTAAAGGACAATGGACACATGACATAACATGATGTATATACATACAAGGTGTGAAGCCGCTGGATTGTAATCCCTTTGTCTAGCATTCAGCGGCAATAACTCCAAAAGAGGTTGACAAGATTATTCTAGTTTTCAGAATAGATTGAGCTTATTGTGCTTACCAATTCCATTAGATTTTCTTTAACTGTAACAATTATGACGAATTACTAGTAGTAAAAAACTGCAAAACTATGTTCCATCTGTAGCATCAGTGGCAATATTGTTGAACAACTCACAAACTTCATAGCAGACATCCTATAGATGAAACAGACAAACTTTGTTTCAATCCATTGAGGGGTTTCAGGAATAAAACCACTAATCCATGGCCCCATTGCTTTCTATGTTAAATTATGCAATTATTCAAAACTAGTTTGTTCGTCTTAAGTTTAAACAAAGTGACAGTCATTTCATGTCAAAATGGGTGCAATTTAAGAGTGTATTGTTGAAGACAATATATTGACATATTTTGGTTTTTAGTGTGGTTGAGTTGCTGTTTCATTGCCATCGGAAATATCCTCCTGGTGACAAATCCAGATAACCAATATTTTCGGCAATCATGCACAGTGGATACCAAAAAACCTTCTCTACAAAATGTATTGTGTAAAACAAAATTCTTACAGGAGGCTTTTTCCATAATATAAATTCCTATTCTCGCAGTAAACTTTGGTAAATGTTAAAAAACTTATCTATAAAATGGTTTAAAAGTTCAATATTAAATTCCAAGACAACAAAAAGTAAACCAACAGAGAAATTTGAAACTCCATAATAGGGAAACAAGTTTTCTTAAATTTAAGTATGAAGACATTGAAATCTCATAACAAGGCCCAGATTAAGATAACATTTAGTTTTTACCAGAGATATTCATCATGGTTAGCCATTCATTCTCTAAACAGAAACAACCAAAATCATTCTATTGAGTAGACACCTCAAACAGTACAAATACTTAAATATACTTTATTTGGCCTTCAAACTATTTTTTATTTGAAAGTCATTAATCTGTTTTTTCGTAGATGAAACACATGGCTGCCATACAACATTATAAGCTTTGTACCTTTGATGAGTTTTTTTAATACCATATTTAACATATAAAGTAATCAAGACAAAATATGAATTAAGATATTTATTCAAACATGACTGGTGACAATGTTTGCAACCACTGAAATGTACATAGTTTACTTAAACCTGGAGAACCTTAGGGTGAAATATTGCATCAATTCATAAGCAGATTTAAATTATACAAAACTATCCATACATTTTTAAAAAAAAAATTACTAATTTGATAATCCTAAATGTAGAAATATTTTTGTGTTTGCTTTATTACTGTAAGATTTTTATGATTTACATTTATTGTCAGCACATTTTACAAAGAGAGAGGAATAACAAGTTAACAACAAAAATTTGATCATCCTAAATATGAAATATGTTCCTAAATTCTGTGTTATTGTAAAAGAGTGACTTGTATGATATCTATTAACTATCAACAGTTATCAGAGGAAAAAAAACATAACAAATTTAATAATCCTAAACATACAGTACAAATATTTTTTTATAAATGTTATCTACTTTTACAGTGGAGAAATGACATTTGAATAAGCAGCACAGTAAAATCATTTTCTTAAGATTTTCAATGTTCTTTTCTGGTGAACTGACCAAAAGATGTATTCAATGTCATAAGCAGGTGTACTTTTTTTATTGCTTAACGTCACAAAGGTAAAAGCCAAAGAAGGAGAGGGAAATTTGACTGAGGAAATGGTAAAAAAAAAACCAACTAAAACCGATTCTGATTCAGAAAATATATATTGATGTAGAATTCAAGAACACTTTCAAGTGGGTGGAAAATCCCAAACTTAATGATTTTCTAGAACATTTTTTTTTTTATTATAAAACTTGTCTGATTTAAATAAACTTATAATGAACGTTAACATTTGCAATGGTGACAATGATGTTACAATCTGAATCAACCACAGTTCCTCACAAACATCTAAATCATGTGTATATCCAAAGACTTAACACAGTTTTATAAGCTTTTTTCTATTTTTAAATCATTAACTGTCTTTACCAACAGAAAATAAAAGAAGTCTGACAGAGAATATTTGTGTACCAAAATCTGAAAAAAAGAATAACATTTTCAATCTTCACAATATCTAATGGGTAAAATTTACAATATTGTATTGTTGTAAGAACTTCTTACAAATGGACTAAAAAACAAAACATGTCAATAAAAATGGAAAAAAGTCTTCCTGCACTATTTTAGTATCTAGCACTTGTACAAGATTTTCAATAAATTCGCTTGTCATTTATCGTACCACAAAACAATGTTTATCATTTAGCATTTTTACGTAGCATATTTCTGTGTCCATTCTTTAGCTATTTCATTATACTTCGGTCTGTCTGTCTTATAAGTTCTGGCAATATCTGGTACTAAAGGGTCATCTGGGTTTGGGTCATTTAAGAGCGAGCATATGGACAGAAGCACTGAAAAAATATTCAAAATAATCCTTAACTTCCTTGATACAATAATTATAGCATGAAAATAAAGATTACAAAATGTCAACATACATAAATTGTGTAAAATGTGAAACAACTACTGTACATGTACATAAATGACTGAACATGCAAAAAACGAAAGGAAACATAGACTTGTATGAAATTTCACTTCTAAAAATACTATTTCATTACCGATTAGTATTTTCTTTGTAAAAAACCATATCACACTTTGTGAGGTATTATAATTAGACATACAACAGACTTGCATAAATTATCACAATATTTCAAGCCACAATTTCAAATTGTTTCCTGTTCTTGTTAACTAAAAATTTCCATCGGTTCAATAATATTTTTAGAAGTAAAAGTTTGAACTACAATAATTGGGAGCAAATGAACTGAAGTACATATTTAATGATGAGGTTAAGATATAATTAGCATTTCAGAAATGATAAATATATAATAAATATGTACATACAATTCAATTCATTAGGGAGCATTTCATCTTTAAATATGTACTTGTACAAAACTTCAATGACTGGTCGAAAGTTTGTTAGTGCATATTAAGTTATCAGTCATTGTACATTTTCATTTACTTCCCAAATAAATTCTTCATATATTTTCAAATCTATATATCATAATATTGTATAAAAAACTGTCAATTTATTATCCATGGAAAGTTTGTATCACATAGCGAATTTCCTGGTCCACTCTTTTGCAGTATCAGCATATTTTTTACGATCGGTCTTAAACAATCTGGCTATGTCCGGAACTAATGGGTCATCTGGATTTGGATCACAAAGTAGGGAACATATAGAGAGAAGAACTGAAAATATATGAAGAATTTAAGTTATCCAGAAAAGATTTTCCGTTGTAACAAACTGTTTTCTGAAGACATATAGGTGCTATACATTAGTCATAACATTTCCTTCCACTCATGTCATCAAATCAAAACATTTTCATGCAGAAAAGTCATAAATGATCTCATTTAAATGAAGGGAAGGAAATGTTTTAAATATGAAACAAAACTGCATTATGTCCTCCTTAAATGTCAATATACCGGTATGTGGAAAGGTTTATATCTAAAATCTTGTTTTTGGGGACATAAAGTTTTCAATTCTGCAGATCAGTTGGATCCAAAGAAAGAAATATGGCACTTCTTCATAAGACCCCAATTCTTTTGTCAGTATCTTACATAGGTATAACAGTACACTTCTGTTTCACATTTTAGAGTAAATACAAGAGCAATACAACAACCATGCAAACTTAATTAACTCAACTGATTTTACTATTTGAATATAAAACCATTATAATATTGTAGGTGCATTCTGCTAATATTTCATGGAAAGCTTTACTGCTATGGTCCTTTTTTTAAGAATACTAGGAATAAACTAAGCAAAACTGGACAAGGTCATGAAATTGGAAATGATTTCATACTACTACAGCTGCATACATTTGCATAAAAAAAATTCTGAAAGCAAAGAAAACAGACTGGACAACATTAAAAATTGGAAGTAACCAAACTATTTTTTTTAATTAAACAAAACATGGTGTCTGAAACGATACGCAACAGAACAAAATTGAAATGAAGATGCATATTTGATGAAAAAAATGAATCATGCCTCATGAAGGAAAATTTTGTGTACTTTATAGTTTTTCCTCATATAAAAAATTTGTACAATTCAACACATAAAATTATGTATTGTTTTGATAATTAAATAGCCATTCATATTTGTTGAATCTTTCATTCCACTATCAAATGTATGCAGTTTGTAGAATCATTGAGCATATTTCCTTGTCCATTCTTTAGCAGTATCAGCATACTTGGATTTATCAGTTTTATAAATTCTAGCTATATCTGGTACAAGTGGGTCATCTGGGTTGGGATCTGTTAGTAATGAACAGATGGACAGAAGGACTGAAAACACACAAGATAAATTAATAACTCTGTTCTGATGCCAAGTTATTTCTATATCACTGCTTACATTAGTACATCTACCTATTATATAATCTGTATAGACAGGCTATATCATCTGTTCAAAATTTTCATGCTACATCAAAATGGTATTTTTAGTGTGAAAAAATTTTCAAAAGAAAATAATTGGAGAATGTGTCAATGGGACACAGATGATGCCACCGCTTGCATATAACGTTATTAAGGGACATAACTACTGTAATAGTGATGCCACCCAAAATCGAACTTGATCTGTGTTTAGTGGTAATAATCATTATGTATAACATTGTATAAGTTAAATAACATTTAGTTGAGGCAAACTTAAGTAAGAGAATGGAAATGAAAAATTCAGCATTTTTTCCATTTATGAAGGGTATAACTCCAGAATGGTAAAAGTGTTGCCAACCAAATTCGAACTTGATCTGACTTTGGTGGTTATAAGCATTGTGTATAAGTTTCATAACAATTGGTTTGAAGGAAACTAAAGTTAGAGAAAGGAAACCGATTTCGGGACTTACATATGGACAGAAGAGCAAGGGTAAACCTTAATGCTCCCTCTGCTACAGTGGGGGCATAAAAACATTGTACTGAGGATGTCTAGATATCCAAAGTCTTTTGATATTGAAGTATAGGTCTTTATCAAAATTTAACAGCAGACTGGATGGTAAAAATATGAATATGAATGGTTCCAAATTCTTGAACTAAATCTCAGATCTTCTGAAACTCCTCCAGACTTATTATCTCTGAAACTGTCTTAGTTCAAATGAAACAGTTGAATTTATCATACAACCACAGGTATCTACCACTTTTAATTTTTGCACAATCTTTGATATCTAAGATACATTTCATTAGCCACAATGGAGTTCCAATTCAAAATACTAAACTGTTATACACATACACATATCTATAAATTTCACTTCTGTTCATTTGCTTGTGCAGTTGTGATTTTTGATACCTGTATCAATACCTGTGAAGCAAATTGTATAATATTGCAGTTAAATTTGTTATTGTGCATAATTAACATATTTAATCTAAGCCAGCCTGTATTAGAACATATTAAATTTAAGCCAGCCCGTTTAAGCACATATCAAATTTAAGCCAGCTTGTATTGGAACATATAAAATTTATTCAATTTTTCTGTTTTGCTGGCTACAAAAAGGCCTTTCTCACACACTTTTCTTTGATCTTGTTACCCAAGTTCACATCTTACCAGTTCAAAGGTTGCATGTATTTAATCAGCAAATTAATCTATATTACATATATGATATTATCATGATTATGATATAAACGATGGTTACTAGACTTGTTTTCAAGTTCATTTGGCAACCAACTGGCAAGGTAAAAACAGACAGGAATTGAATATTTTAAATAAATCTCAATCTTTTTTAACCACTGTGTTAAAATTCCAAGAGGATATCAGACAACAAGATGACACACCCATACCGTCTCATATGAGCATCTTTATGGTCCTATAAAAATAACATAAACACAACCTACCTAATCATTCTCATTCAAGTTTTACATTCTGCAATTTCAAGTAAATTGAATATGCAAAACAAAATATATTTGTAAACTTTGCATGAGAAAAAAAGCTGTGTAGATTTTACATAAAAATACAGGTAATATACAATCAAATACTAAAGTTGGTCTAAGGTGCACAGGAATGAATTGGTATGTTTTTAATTTCGATCATTAGGTATAAGATGTGCAATTGCAGTTGTTTATATCCAGATATTTAAGTGACTAAGTCACAAGTGTGTTCTGTCTGTGTTTGCACTGCAGTCAAATTTGCATAAGCTTAAAGGCATATGATACAGTAGCAGGGGCATATAACACTGTCAAATCAAACGTTTTCTAATAATTGACATTGTAAATTTGCAGAAAATATATTGATATCTTAAAATTGGTTGATTATTTTTCTTTGCATTTTTTGAGAGTCCTTATTAATATTGATTGATTGTTGAAAATTCAAGGAAATAAATGTGGATAGTGTCCACATGTGGACACAGATGATGCCCCCGCTTGCATATCATATAGTTATAAAGGGACATAACACAAGAACGGTAAAAGTGACGCTACCCAAATTTGAACTTGATCTGAGTTTTGTGGTAATAAGCATTGTGCGTAAGTCTCATAACATTTGGTCGAGGCTAACTTAAGTAGAGAACAGAAACTAAAAATTCAGCAATTTTTCTATTTGTAAACATGCATAACTCTAGAACGGTTGTGTATAAGTTTTATAACATTTGGTTGAGACAAACTAAAGTTAGAGAACAGAAACGAAAAATTCAGCAATTTTTATGTTTATAAAGGGACATAACTCAAGAATGGTAGAAGTGTTGCCACCAAATTTCGTACTTAATCTGTATTATGGGCAAACTTAAGTTACAGAATGGAAACTAAAAATTTTGCAATCTTTCGATTTATAAAGGGGCATAACTCAATAATGGTTAAAGTGACACTACCCAAATTCAACTTGATCTGTGTTTTATCAGTGGAAGTCAAAATTAAACATTGCCTTGTATAAAGCATTGATTGTAGTTGATTCAACTATAATCATGGACAAAGGAAGATAACTCCAAATTTAATAAAATGCTTCGCTGGGGCGCAGCTTGATACGACCGCAGAGGTCGAACCCTGAACAGTTGGGGCAAGTATGGACACAACATTCAAGCTTGATACAGCTCTGAATTTGGATTGTTATTAAATATTTGACACAGCATAGGTTTCTGACACAGAAAGAATGTGGTCTAAGAACTTGAATTTTTTTAATTTACCTATTATGGTCCAATGTCCAAAATCAAAATACATGGTTAGATTCAGCATATCAAAGACCCCATATATTCAATTTTTGTTAAAATCAAACAAAGTTTAATTTTGGACCCCAACTTGGACAAACTTGAAAACTGGGCCCATAATCAAAAATCTAAACACATGTTTAGATTCAGCATATCAAAGAACCCCAAGAATTCAATTTTTGCTAAAATCAAACTAAGTTTAATTTTGGACCCTTTGGACCTTAATGTAGACCAATTTAAAAAACGGGACTTAAAATTAAAAATCTAAATACACGGTTAGATTTGGAATATCAAAGAACCCCAATAATTCAATTTTTGATGAAATCAAACAAAGTTTAATTTTGGACCCTTTTGACCTCAATATGAACCAATTTGATAGCGGGGCCCACAAATAAAAAATCTAAATTCATGGTTAGATTCAGCATATCAAAGAACCCCATATATTCAATTTTTGTTGAAATCAAAAAAAGTATAATTTTGGACCCCAACTTGGACCAACTTGAAAACTGGGCCCATAATCAAAAATCTAAACACATGTTTAGATTCAGCATATCAAAGAACCCCAAGAATTCAATTTTTGTTAAAATCAAACTAAGTTTAATTTTGGACCCTTTGGACCTCAATGAAGACCAATTTAAAAAAAGGGACCCAAATTAAAAATCTAAAAACACAGTTAGATTTGGCATATCAAAGAACCCCAATAATTCAATTTTCGATGAAATCAAACAAAGTTTAATTTTGGACCCTTTTGACCTCAATATGAACCAATTTGATAGCGGGGCCTACAAATAAAAAATCTAAATACATGGTTAGATTCAGCATATCAAAGAACCTCATATATTCAATTTTTGTTGAAATCAAACAAAGTTTAATTTTGGACCCCAATTTGGACCAACTTGAAAACTGGGCCCATAATAAAAATTCTAAATACATGTTTAGATTCAGCATATCAAAGAACCCCATGTATTCAATTTTTGTTGAAATCAAACAAAGTTTAAATACTGGACCCTATCTTGGACCAACTTGAAAACTGGGCCCATAATCAAAAATCTAAACACATGTTTAGATTCAGCAAATCAAAGAACCCCAAGAATTCAATTTTTGTTAAAATCAAACTAAGTTTAATTTGGACCCTTTGGACCTCAATGTAGACCAATTTAAAAAACAGGACCCAAAATTAAAAACCTAAATACACGGTTAGATTTGGAATATCAAAGAACCCCAATAATTCAATTTTAGATGAAATCAAACAAAGTTTAATTTTGGACCCTTTTGACCTCAATATGAACCAATTAGATAACGGGGTCCACAAATAAAAAATCTAAATACATGGTTAGATTCAGCATATCAAAGAACCCCATATATTCAATTTTTGTTGAAATCAAACAAAGTTTAATTTTGGACCCCAATTTGGACCAACTTGAAAACTGGGCCAAAAATCAAAATACATGTTTAGATTCAGCATATCAAAGAACCTCATATATTCAATTTTTGCTAAAATCAAACAAAGTTTAATTTTGGACCCTTTGGACATTAATGTAGACCAATTTGAAAACTGGACCCAAAATTAAAAATCTAAATACACTGTTAGATTCGGCATAACAAATAAATAAATGTGATCAAAGATTTTACAAATCTAATGCGCCATACTGTGCAATTAAAGATTACTTCTTGAAATTTTTCAATATTTGAAATTTGAAAAAAAAATAATATTTGAAGAATAATTCTTTTTAATTTCTGAAATCTGAAATGAGAAAAAATTGGCCCCCCACAATTTCTTTTTATCCCCCCCCCCCCTTTTTCCCCCAAAAAAATTCTTTCCCTCAAGATATGGTCATAATCTCAATTCAAATTTCCAATGGAGTTGGCAACCATAATTACCCATTTAAATTTACCATAGTGCTAACTTAATCTATTTTATAATAGAATTAATAAAAATATAGTGTCAAATCTTTCATATGGATTTTTTTGTAAAAAAAAAAGATGAAAACATTTGCAGATATTTTTACTGGTCTTCCTTTATAAATATGCATTTCTTTAAACATAATTTAAAAGCAGTGTAAGGGAAGTAACCAAAACGTTGTATTTGGATTACCTCCCTTACACTGTTTTAGATTATCTTTATTGTTCATTAACCATTACTTTATACATAATTTAAAAGCAGTGTAAGGGAGATAATTTCAATGATGTATTTGATTTATCTCCCTTACACTGCTTTAAATTATGTTTTGTACTAAAGTATTTGTCCATTAACCAGGACAACCTTGTTTTTCCCCCTTTTTTGCCCCTAATTCCTAAACGGTTTGAGTCATAACCCCCCAAAGCAAATCCTAACCATCCCTTTGTGGTATGGAAACTTGTAGTATAATTTCAGAGAGATCCATACACCGTTCCACAGTTATTGTCTGGAAACTAGAAAATGCTCATTTTTGGCCCCTTTTTGGCCCCTAATTCCTTAACTGTTGGTACCATAACCCCCAAAATCAATCCCAACCTTCCTTTTGTGGTATTTAACCTTATGGTCAAATTTCAAAAAGATCCATTCACTTAAACTAAAGTTAGAGTGCGAAAACCAATATGTATTCGGACGACGACGACGACGACGACGGACGACGTCATACCAATATACGACCACAAAATTTTTTTGCGGTCGTATAAAAATTACGTGATATTTTGAAGAAAATAAAAATTTTGCAATTTTTTGATTTCTAAAGGTGCAAAACTCTAGAACGGTTAAAGTGACGCCACCAAAATTCAAACTCGATCTGTGTTTTGTGGTAATAAGCATTGTGTATAAGTTTCATAACATTTGGTTGAGGCAAACTAAAGTTAGAGAACGGAAATGAAAAATTCAGCAATTTTTCCATTTATAAAGGAGCATAACTCTAAAAAGGTAAAAGTGACGCCACCAAAATTCAAACTTGATCTGTGTTTTGTGGTAATAAGCATTGCGTATAAGTTTCATATCATTTGGTTGAGGCAAACTAAAGTTAGAGAATGGAAACAAAAATTCAGCAATTTTTCCATTTATAAAGGGGCATAACTCTAAAACGGTAAAAGTGACGCCACCAAAATTCAAACTTGATCTGTGTTTTGTGGTAATAAGCATTGTGTATAAGTTTCATAAAATCTGGTTGAGGCAAACTAAAGTTAGAGAACGGAAACCAATTTTGGTACGTACGTACAGACGGACAAGGGTAAAACTTAATGCCCCCTTCGCTACGGCGGGGGCATAAAAACCTAATGAGGTCTCTTCTGTATCATATGCCCTTAACTGAATAAACGTGATTCAAAATGACTTAAATTTTAAATCTATTTAATTCACCTTTAATGGGATAATACAGACATGAAACAACAGTTAAATTCAGTTAAAACAATAAAATAACATAAAATCTTCCTAGCCCTACTGAAACATGCTGTGTAGATAAAGTAGAACACATCTTCCATGCTTAAAACATGAGGTGTATGTTCATAGTTCTACTGAAACATGCTGTGTAGATAAAGTAGAACATATCTTCCACGCTTAAGCCATGAGGTGTATGTTCATAGTTCTACTGAAACATGCTGTGTAGATAAAGTAGAACATATCTTCCACGCTTAAGCCATGAGGTGTATGTTCATAGTTCTACTGAAACATGCTGTGTAAATAAAGTAGAACATATCTTCCACGCTTAAGCCATGAGGTGTATGTTCATAGTTCTACTGAAACATGCTGTGTAAATAAAGTAGAACATCTCTTCCACGCTTAAACCATGAGGTGTATGTTCCTAGTTCTACTGAAACATGCTGTGTAGATAAAGTAGAACACATCTTCCATGCTTAAACCATGAGGTGTATGTTCCTTAAGTTTTGTTTTTTTTTGTGGTCATAAGGATGATACATATTTCTATTCATAAGTCATGGGTTTTTTTTAAATATTCAAATGTTATTGTTTTTGTCTTGTAGAGAACTTCTTGTTGATGGCAAATCTTTTCAAAGCTTCAGTTAAATTTATTCACATCTTTTCTTGACTTGTGACAATTAACTTCTAGATATATTGTATAGAAACTTGTTGTTTGTTGAAGACAATTTACTAACTTCCAGGTGCCTTTTGATTCTTTATGTCATTGGGTTGCTTTCATACTGTCATATGGCCCACCTCTCTATTCAGAGCTCAGCATAACAACATATGCTAAATAAGGAAAATGTGGGCTATGTCAACATGAACCAAATGCATTGCCAACAGGTAAAATACCTTCAAAATCGATTCCTGTGAGAATATATTTTGGGCAAGGCTTTATATAAATGGCAGACCTCCCTTCTAATCAGATGTTTTTTAATGATTCTTAAACAATGAATAAGTGTTGCTGTAAGTGAGGACTTTATGCTATGTGCAGGATTCCTTGTATTGTATTTTAAAACATGCATTCTATGCATGGCACATATAGAATAAAGGACTTTTTGTTTTTGATACCAACTTTACCATGGTAAAATACCAGATGAGCCCTTTGTGTGAGCCTAATATTTTACAGTGATAAAGTCAGTATCAAAAACAAAAAAGTACTTTATTCTTTTTATCCCTAAGTATGAAAAAATGAAAATGACTACAATAACAAACAAAAATTTTTTCACACAATCGTTCAAAAAAGCTAAACTAACCTTACTGAAACAATGACAAGTGTTTCATTCACCAAATAAATGGGGAATGTGTCCATGGGACACAGATGATGCCCCCGCTTGCATATAATGTTATAAAGGGATATAACTGAAGAACTGTAAAAGTGACGCTACCCAAATTAGTACTTGATCTGAGTTTTGTGGTAATAAGCATTGTGTATACGTTTCATAACATTTGGTTGAGGCAAACTAAAGTAAGAGAATGGAAACGGAAAATTCAGCAATTTTTCCATTTGTAGAGGAGCATAACTCTAGAACGGCAAAAGTGACGCCACCAAAATTCAAACTTGATCTGTGTTTTGTGGTAATAAGCATTGTGTATAAGTTTCATAACATTTGGTTGAGGCAAACTGAAGTTAGAGAACGGAAACAAAAAATTTAGCAAATTTTTTCTATTTGTAAAGGGGCATAACTCTAGAAAGGTTAAAGTGATGCCACCAAAATTCAAACTTGATCTGTGTTTTGTGGTAATAAGCATTGTGTATAAGTTTCATATTATTTGGTTGAGGCAAACTAAAGTTAGAGAACGGAAACCAATTTTGGGACGTACAGACGGACAAGGGTAATACGTAATGCCACCTCCGCTACGGCGGGGGCATAAAAACAAGTGTGTTTCTGCAAAAAATTCACTTGATTTTGTGAATGAAACGGAAAGTATATCCTTACGCGGTGCACTCACGCATGTTAATTGCGAACTGACCATAATTTTTTTTTCACCACCAGTCCACTGGTACTGACATTATCAGCAAGTACACATCAAAGGAAAAATGCACAAATTATCGATAAAAACATTTAAATGAAACAGGTGAATTGTGTTCTACTGTAATGTTTAATAGAGTAGATAAACTTTCATAAGGGCTTTTCCATTAAAATGAATATGGAAGGATAAGACTTCAAATCTCCAACAACCTACATACTATGAGTATTTAGCATGTATCAAATGGTCATACAATCATAAATGACCAACAAACAAAGTCCAAAAAAAAATAATTTTCTTTTTCCTGTCCTTATTTATTTCAATGGAATAGCCCTCATGCTGAGAAAATATATTACCTTTAGATATGGTTAAAGCGGGAGACCACTGTGAACGTAATATATCAAGACATATGCTACCATTACTGTTTATATTGGGGTGATATATCTTAGTTGTGAATGAAACCTGAAATGGACAATATATATATACAACACAAATAAAATACAACCATCAAACTATTTCTCTAATGAGCAAACAATAAATGCACCGTTAGCATTGTTGTTGAAGACAACTTTCAGTTATGTCTGGCAAATATAATTGTTCAAGCATTATTTCCAAAGGGCTATACAGTACATCCTTTAAATATTCAGTCTTAAAGCAGGAAATTGCTGTTGTTGGAGGCTCTGCACAACATTTGCTTTAATATAATTGTTGATTAATTAAATGATGATCTATGTAAAATACAATAGAGTAAGAAAGAAATCCTTCTATTTACAACACTTTTAGAATTTATTCACAATATCAAGAAACTCGACAAAAAGTCGAAAGAGATATTGTCTCACCTGAGTGTATTTCAATAGTATAATGCAAATGTTAAAATCTGAATATCATCACTTTAACAGGGAAATCACTCTTTTCACCATTTAAGAAAGTATTTCTGAAAATTTTGTAGTCTACCACTCAATCTGGTGACATAGTTATGACCCCCAAACTAATTAACGGTCATAACAGGTGTGATAAATTGTTGTTACAAGCAAACCTCTTATACAATAAGCATTAATGATCCTCAAATCTAATTCATGTAAACAGAATCTCCCAGTCTGCATTTGGAAAATAATATACTTTTTGATATGACCTCAATTTTATTTACCTTGATTTCTTGACAAAAACCTAATTTACAGAAGGAACAATATGTAAGGAACTCATTTGAAAACAGTTTTACTTGAGATCTATTTAAAATTTTAAATCTGATATGTTTTGTCACTTCTGAATACAAAAGGGAAGCCATGATCCTCTTTTCTGAATTTTGTCTTTTTTAAGCCATTTTTCTCTATTCTTTCTTTATTTTGCAATTAAATTTTTATTCTCTAAGTATTCTTTATATTTTAGCAGTCATTATTTTCTATTTTTCTATATTTTATCCCCCGTTATTCTTTATTTTATGGCCATTTTTCTCTATTCTTTAATTTTTTACCCACATCTAGAAACCACATCCGAACACTCATTTAGGACTGGAAAAATGCAGCAAAAGTGAAAATCATCAAATTGAAATTGACCTCCATTTAGTCATCAATAACAACATATTAAATCTGAAAATCATTGGTTGAACGGTTCATAGATTATTTTACGAAAACGACAAAGTGCAATTTAAAAATCTATCAAGAACCATAACTCCTGAACAGTAATTAATATGAAAATCTTCAATACTGAACTTGACCTCCATTTTGTTATCACTAACATTATATTAATATCTGAAAAGCATTGGTAATTGCACAGAAACAACATACAGTGAAATTTTCCAATATATCAAGGACAATTATGTAAAGTCCTGATCAACAAAAGTAAAAATCGTCAATATCAATCTTGACCACATTTTGTCATCAGTAACAACACATTAAGATTTGAAAAGCATTGGTTGAATAGTTCATAAGTAGTTATTGCACAAAAACTGTTGGCAGCCACCTACCAGCCAACTGTACTTCACCTTTGGAAAACCTGGATAAAATACAGGTAACTATGTAAAAATTTCAATGTCAATAGACCATGACGATGGAAACAGCATACCCAAGCCCTGCAGGCGAGAGACAGTAGCTTTTTAAATGTGAGCGTTGAAAAAATAACAAGAAGTGGTGTCTTGTTACCTTTGGAGGCTTGAATGGGTAGTCTGTGGGGAAGTGTATTGTAAGGAAAAATACTCCTCCTTGGTACGGACTGTCAGGCTGAAAAATACAAAGTTGATACATATAGCATTTTATTTCAGTTATTTTTTTTAATCATCTTCATTTAACAATGTATGTTAGAATATTTTTAGAAAGCATTGTTGGCCACCTCCTTGAAGTCTCTCAATACTATTAGTATTACTATGAGCAATCAATTTTTAACACCATTCTTTCTTCATCCTTCCAACTTTTCAAATTTTTTTGTAAGGATATTGTTATTTTCTTATGGTTGTGGCCTTTTATCTATTTCTTGCATGGAGAGATATTTCTTGTATCACACTGCACAGAGTGCCACCCAAATTTCGTAATTGATCTGTGTTTGGTGGTAATAAGCATTGGGTTTAAGTTTCATAACATTTGGTTGAAGCAAAGTAAAGTTAGTGAGTAAACAGCTAATCTACAAATTTTTCCATTTATAAAGGGACAGTTCTCATAAACATTTTGTTTATGCAACCTAAAGTTAGAGAATGGAAACAAATTTTGACGGATGAAAAGACGTACATGTATGTACAGACAGACAAGAGTAAACCTTAATGCCCTCGCCTCCTATCGAAGAGGGCATAAAAAATACATCCCATGACCTAACAGCTGTATGGTTTCATTTTCTTTTAAACAAACATACATGACCTTGTATGTTTTAAAATAAAAAAGATACTTACTGGACCCATTATTGTGGCTTGCCAATGAAATACTGAAAATAAATTGAACAAAATCATTATGAAACATATAACAATAGCAAACTTGTCATTAATTACATTTGAAAACATTAAAGATTAAGATTGAAGATATATTAATATTCTTTCCAATTTATTTAGGTTTCCCTTTTTTTAAAGATCAATACTAGTCAAACACTGCCTTTAGACTTAACAGGCATCTCATAAAAGGAATGACACTGTCTGTGTTTTACAATACACAAATGTAGTACCCTGATCAACATACCTACCAAAAGAATTCAGCTAGAAGTATTGCTAAAGGTGTCCACTATGACTTTAAGATGAAGAGCAGCAATAAATGCTCCAAGATGTTCCTTTGACATATAATTTAATATCATGTATTTTGGGATTTGGTGTCATTAATTATTTTATCATATTTCTACTTTTCCAGTGTAAAAATTTTCCCTTTATGAATAAAAGAATCTTTGTATTTAGATGTCTTATATACATATGGGACATAAACATGTATCTTACTTCCCTTGGGGGAGTCTTTGTATTTCATTTTACCAAATCAACACACAAATATACCTCTGAAGTTTTAAAATAACATAAATACATTATATATTTAGACCACAAAGTTTATCAACATCAAATGCTCTACCGTAAAGTCTATCAACATTAAATCCTTTAACTACAAAAACATATAAAATTGTGCCTTCCAGTCATTTAATGCAGAACAAGTATATGACTAAACTTGTACATTACTGTACAATTATGTTGGTCCTTTGAATGGCTCTTGTGGACATACATGTAGCTTTACTTACAATCATCCCCTACTGGACCTGCTGAGCATTGTGCTGGTGGGTCTCTGCCTAAATCTTGTAACTCCTGAAAAGTTAATCATAATTATTTATAAGAGCTGCTTTTTAAAAAGAAAAAAAGGAAATTTATTCAATAGCTCAAAGGGGAAATAGTTACACAATCAGTTGAATTGCTATCTTCTTTTATGAATATTGTGCACCAGAATTCTATTTTTTGCTGATTAAATATAAATATAATAAATACATATCAATGGAGTTTTATGATGAATTATTCAAATTTGATGGAAAAATCAATATATATATGATTAGGTTTTGTCATTGAATTTATCATGTTATAGTGTTTCCTACATCATGTTTAATGGAAGGACGAGATGTGGCTCCAATTTTTACAAGGCCTTGCCCTTTTCTGGAGATATTTTCGGCCCTGTCCTTTTTCTATATCCTATTTTATAATGCCATGTCATATTCTTAAGGATTAGTAAGTACTGTGATTCATTTACAATAAGACCAACTGAGTGATTTCTCTTTGGATGCAAAATGTTATGCAGTCTTTTAAGAGACTGAATACAAAAATACTTTTGAATTTTGAATATAATAATTTAGACAGTGCCTTTGAACATTTTAAAATGTATACAATTATAAGGGAAACCAGGCAATAGTTTGTTATAATTTTACACATGGAATGTTCAGTCTGGCAAGGGGAGGGATTGGTGGAGTCTAAAGACAGCTTTCTTTCTGCTCTTATTTATATTTAATAAAAACAAATAAAAATGTGAGCTACTGCTCACTAATGATATCCCCGCTTTAAAAATTCAGTAAACAGGAAGTTGACACATGTAATGATAAATCTGAAAATATACACAGTAAAGCATGTTCATATAAAGTCTGATAACATATTTCAGAAGCGCTTACATGTATTTGTAGTTCGCAAGAAAAATTTGACAAATATTTCAGACATGACTTGACCATAATTACATATGTGTTTGAAAATATAAGTAATTCATAAATAGGAAATTGATGACATTGATGAAGAAACACATCACAAGGTAAAACATGTTCACATAAAGCCTGATAACAAATTTATGGAAGCTCTTATTTGTAATTCCCTAGAATTCATACATACTCATTATGTATTAGAATATATAAGTAATTAATTAGTAAATAGGAAGTTGATGAGCTATGACTGACCTAAAATTTTTACAAAGTTATCAGCCAATTGCAAGGCAACTTTGATTGGTATACATTACAACTCAAATGGTTTTGACACTATTATGTTGAGCAACTAAAAAGCAATGCCTACATTGTATGCTCTTGGCTATGGAAGACTTGACAATTTACACACAAATCATTATGTACATCCTGGCCAAATATTCTAATTTAACTCTGAGTACTGTCTTTTGATTATGAAAAGTCTTACACCCAAGTTTCATTAAATTTCAAGAAGGTTTGACAAAGTTATTGATGTCTAAAAAAAATTAACAACAGACTGAATGTTGTTGCGGAAAGAATAAAGTATATATCGCTATGACTAGCTTCATGACAAAATATTGCAAGCTCGCAAAAGGGTAATAAAACACTTCAGGTTGAAAAAAATAATTACTTAGTCAACCATTGTTTAATACGGGAAACTAACTGCAGTTAGAAGTGTGTTATACATGCTGTCTAATAAACAATGTAGAGGATTAAGTTCTTGTAAGGGACATAAAACACCATCATTATGAATTACAATATAAATGTAACAGTAACATTTTTATAAGTACTCAATTCATTACTATGAATAATTTAAATAAATACTTCCATATAACAAGTGGATTCATCAGAAATCAATGAGTATGCAGTTGAGAGGTCAACCATGTTTAAGCTATGGTATTAAAGAAATTTAAAGGGGAAAATTTTGCCATATGCATGAAGGTTTGTGACAAGACATCAATAAATAATTTTTTTTAATGCTTTATCCTTTAATATCTAATTAAAAGGACCTTCCCCATTATGTACATCAGATAGGGTTCGATATATCATGTAAAGTCAAACATAAAGATACAATTATTATGCAAATTGGCTTAATCTAATTTAAATAATTAGAAATAAATGTAATTGATATTTTTTAACTGTGAATACAGAACCACCCTTAATTGTAGCCTTGGTGGTACTTTAACACCAGGCTAAAAATAAGATTTTGAAAACTATTGACACTAGACTGAAATATCATCAGGGCAAGATCTTCCCCATTACAAAAATGTATCTACAAAAGAATAGGGTTCGATATAAGTAGTCAAACAGACAGTATAACAAGCTGAATTTGACGGATTTATGAATGGACTATAAAAATTGCAACAAATGGGAAATAACTCTTGCTCAAATTGCATCAATACTACAATATATCAACAGTTATCATGGTTATACAGAAAAATATCTAGTAGTAAATAATTTCAAAAATGACTTGTGCATCATCAGAGCACCATTATTGTACCTTATATATGTTATTGTAATGGTGTGATGAAGCTGTATTGCCAGTTATTTACATATATAATATATTTCACTTTATATTCTAATGGTCCATCATTTTGAAAATTAACAGCTTACATGTTAATTTATGTCAAATAAGGGAGAATATCAATAAACAAATGATTTAAACCTGTTAACCACTTCCTTACTTTCAGATTACATGTCTAGTGGAAATTATATCAAAATTTCACAAGACTTCTTTATATAGGTCAGGAATACTAATTGGCAGGAAAATATATAATTTGAGTGTATGGAACCCTTACTACAGAACTGGGGTTCAATATCCCTTACTTGGAAACCTTTGCCGGACTCTCCAAATTAACAGTTATGTCCCCCTGGTTTATCTAGTGCTCACTATTAACAACTGCAACATTTTGACTGCGCAGACCTTTTTGTACAAACCATTACACGAATACATTAAGATGTCTAATAATTGAATCCTTTGAATGAAAACCAAATATGTTACATTTGATTTACGCTAAGAAAGAAAACCTTGCTTTGCTCGTGAACTTGAATAAATGGCGGAAACCAGACAATATTCCAAGAAAACACTTCCATTAAATGTTCAAATTGGGTTTCAGTTCCTAAAGAATTACATTTAGTTCATTTATCACTTCGTATACTTACCTTATTTATTCGTTTTAAAGCCATTTTGTGTGTTATTATATGTATGATTAATGTTTGAGTGAGGAGCAAGTGATCTTCCTTTCCTTACAAATCCGGAACTAACGAAAAGACATGCGCAGTCCAATTCGTTAGTAACAATTCTATGGAACACATCAAATAACATAATTTCAATAAAGCACCATAAAAGACATAAACAATGCTCACAGTGGGACTTATTAATTTATACTAAACACGGATTTATCAAAATAAGTAAATCAAAGTTTCAAATGATATTATTGAACTGGAGAAAAGTGCTATATGGCAATTTAAATTTACTGAATGGTTTTGCTTCTAAAATGAAAAGATTTCTCTAAAAATAATTCAATCATAAAATCAAAATACTTTTTAAAAAAAACCGATTGCTACATGCTGTGGGGAGCAAATGATAAAAAAAATGTATTTGATTTGTAAAGGCAGAGATGTGTATATATGTCTCTGGTAAAGGGTATTTTAGATATATAAAAAAACCAGTATTGATATTCAAGCAACCAGACCTACACTAAGAGTACAAAATCTTTTATCAACAAACGAATCAGAATAAAAGTACTCTAAGACAAATTTGTCAGTATGGTTCAATTTCTGTTTGGTTATTAGTGGACGCATCTTTTCACAATAAGAATACTTAATACACATCCCTCATTCCATATTCGTATACAAAGTACATCCAAAAGGTACTCTCTCTCTCATTACAATTTAGTGACCTTCAGCTACTTAAAAAAATGGTCTGTGAAAGACTTTTCGGAGAGAGTTAATTGTTCTAATCCTAAATGTAAATAAAATGTTTGCAAATATACGATAAGCAAACACCTATCTTCATTGAGCTTTCTTATTAATGTGATATATATAATTGCAAATATATAAACGATAAGTAAACGTCCATCTCTTATTGATGTGAAACATAAACATTGCATAACGGAGCAAGCATACGGCAATATGCATACCACATCTCAATGTTTTATATTTAAGCGGTTGTGTGCTGTAATAGGGGTGGATCAAGGATTTTTTTAAAAAGGGAGTTAATTATAGAAAACATAAAATATAACGGTGTGTGCATTACCATGGGTGGATCCAGGATTTTTGAAAGGGGGGCGTTATTGTAGAAAACATTAAATATAATGTCGAAAAAATAGAACGAGTTTTTTTTTTTGGGGGGGGGGGGGACGATTTTATGCTAAAAATAATATATTTTCCAATCGAAGTGGGGCATACGCTCTTTACAACCCCTGAAACCGCCACTGACTAACAAACCAAACTTGTTCATTTGATTTAGAAATACAAAGCAAGATCTTGGTCGACCAATTTACGCTGACCGGTAATAGAAAAATAAGGAGATGTGGTACGATTGCCAATGAGACAACTATTCACCTGGCAAAGTTTAAGTGAAGTGGATGTAAGAAATCATAGGCACCGTACGGCCTTCAACAACGAGAAAAGCCCGTACAGATTCTATAAAAGGCCCCGACATTGAAAAAAAACTAACGGCCTAATTCATAACAAAACAATTTACGAAAAAAGAAATATGACAGATATGAACCAACGAACAACAGGCTCCTGACTTGGGATAGGCACATGAAGAATGTGGCGGGTTTTAACATGTTTTTGAGCGCTCAACCCTCCCCCGGCTGACCTGGGATAGTGATGTTACAGCATGGCATAAGAACAAACTATGAAAATCAGTTGAGAAGGGCTTAACTCATCAGATCGATACAAAACAGAAAATCATCTTACAAAAACACAGACCGGACGTGGCATGGTATTTATACATCCCTAATAACAACAAAAAACACAAAGTACAGATCCGAGAGTACTCGCAGTTACTGACAACTAGTTCAAAGCCAATAACAACTAATAGAAAAAAATCATGTATCTAAGACTATTAACAGTCAGAGAAAAAAGCATGTCCTTGTGCAATGCCAAAATATAGGTACCGACAGATTGTAGAAAGTGTATATGTGTATAACAATACTATTTAGTTTGGTTTTAATTTACTGATAACAAAATCCATATTTATACCAGTAGAACAATATTCAAAGATGTAATTACATTGCTCGGAATTGGAAACCTACCAGAATAAGTTTATTTACAGGATTGATTAGTTCACCCGGATCATATATAAATTTCCGGGCTCGGTAAACAACATCACCGTAATATTTAGGATGTGCTATTCCGTCTGAAATATTTTGTTTGCAGGTACAGCCAAACTTGCAAACTAAATCTTTGTATCTATGGAAAAATTTAGTAAAGGTTTTAAGTAATTAGTGGTAACAAAATCCCTGACTTAATAATTTACCAGTAATACATAGATTACGCTCATTGAAATACAAAACGTCACTACAGACACGGGCATAGTGAACGAGTTGGGAAATATGAACACCGCGTAAGACGGTGCCAAAGGAACATCACCGTCCAAAAGGAAAATTAACAATAGGAAAAGAAAAAACATCCCTTTTGTTGTAAATTTTTATGTAAAGTTCCTGTGGTAAAACTGAAATATCCAATATAGAAAAGGACATTTATTGCTGTTAATAATTGATTAAAGTTCTTCTGGGTAAATTTCGGCAGTATATTTAGAGAATTCTTGATTATTGAACGAAAAAAAAAATCATTAGATAACGGTAAGTGGTGTTGAATTCATCAACTAAATGGAATTTAGACGGATCTTTACTGAGTTTGGCCATTCACTGTGATTCATAACAGTACAGGACCAAGTCTGCTATTCAATTGGTGCCCATAGGATTACCTTCAACCTGTCGATAAACTTAATTGCCGAAACGTACATAAATGTTGTCAAGGAAGAAATTTACGGCTTGAATCATATCATCACACCTCCAGTAAGTACTAGTATATTTACCTTTCTCATTTGAGAAAAGGCTTTATACGAATGGCAGCAAATAAATTTGCAATAAGATTTTAATAATCAAAGTACTGAAGTACTGAACATCGGATGACCACAAAGTCCTTGTGGATGGTCAAAAGCACTTGTCTCATGAAAAAAATCACATATCTCTTTACCTGAAACTGAAATTAATGTACAGAGAATTATTTTTTTTCTGAGACAAGTTTGTGTGTGGATGACGAATAAATGACAGGAAATTACACTTCACCGTAATAACTATTATGTTGTAGTGATACAAATCAGTATACACTGATTTGTATACACTGATTTGTTGGTATATATTATATTAAAATAACAGTTACATGTATATATGATTTCCATCCATTTGTATATCATTCTATTCTTCTATTCTACTTATGATAGTGCAATGCAAGTGCATGGCGGACACTTTTCTGTAAAAATTCGATTTTTCTAAAAGTTTGGATACGAGTAACCATTCATATTTTCATATTTTCCCGCAAATTATATTTATTCGAACCGGAAGTCCGCTTATTGAGAATATTGTGTCACGTTCCCAGACTATCGGTACGTGTGCATTGATATAATCAATGATTTTTTACTTATATATATATACTACAAAACATTTTCATATTATTAATTAACAAAAATATTTGTATCAGTATTCATTGAAGAGATGTTTTTATATCAAACGATAAGGAATGTTATTTTGCACTAGTTTATGTTCGCGTATTTATCATGTTTATAGATCGGTTAAAATCCCAAAACTAATTTGCATAATTTATGCATTAATGGAAATTTAGGCGATAGCAATACATCGAAATGACCTCAAGGTCATCGCCATGTAAAAATTACCTCAAGGTCATCGCGATGTAAAAAGGAAAGTTTTTGTTTGGTAAGATTGTGTGGAAGGAAAGTATAAAGGGTGGAAAAGTCAAAACTGTCAACTGAATCTAAAGGAACATCAAAAGTACGCAATTAATCTTAAGCATCCAAAGAATTTTTTACACTCCAAGAACGGTTAATTCCACAATTTTCATATGTTTTATTACAAAAAATAATGATAAGGTCTTTGGTAGTAGTTAAGGAACTTGTTAAAAGCACTAAAAGATTAGTAGTAGAACACTTACTAGAGGCCGAGCGAGATGAAACGATATTTTACGGTTTTTTTGTGTGTAGTTTAGGTAACAAATATATTACTATATGACTCTCTGTGGAGCATATTACGGCCTTGAATGTTGTTGAATGTCTAATTTCATTCTTAAGGCCATTCTTTCATTCGACCATGACAACGAAATTATTCTCAAATAAAATGAAATGCTGCAAACTGCACTCCCCGACCTCTTTTTTGTTTAACTGTTTTATAGTGTATATGATGCAATTCAATTTTCAAATTCATGGTTTCGTCACAGCAAGGATTTGTATATTTCTTACTATACAAATCCTTGGTCACAGTTACCAAGAAAATATGCCTTTTTCTTATTCCATTCACTAATTATAACGGGATTGACGGTTAGTTTCACTGTTTATATTGTGCATTTTTTAAAGGAGTTGTGAATTTGCAGTTCGTTGTTTCATTCAATAAATGGATGGATGAATGACAGTTCAACATCCATATTAGTGGCAAACATTTAGTGTTTACAGTGCACTAAATCCGTTGGATTATAGTACCGATTGATACTTTAGTCGGGGGGAACATGATTTACGTTGTGATTGGCTTTTAACTAGCTTTCAGTAACTGCGAATACTCTTATTTCGGTGCTTTGTGTCTATTTTTTTAGGTCAGTTGTGTTTGTGCGTCGTATCGATCTTTTGAGTTAAGCCAATTGTTACTAATTTTTACAGCGTGTTCTTATGTTGTGCTGTTACACCACTGTTCAAGTTTTATAGGGGATTGAGCGCTCACGGACAAATGTTTAACCTCGCAACATTGACCAAAGTCGGGAGCCTGTAGTTCAGTAGTTGTCGTTGGTTCATGTCTGTCATATTTGTTTTTCGTAAATTGTTTTGTTATGAATTAGACAAATTACTAAAGATATATATTTAAAGATGCACCAAAGATATTATTTTTATATTAGATACATATTTAGGACAAATGTTGAAATGACATGAATATGAACCTTGCTTAGTTTAGTATTAGACCGACATACTTCGTCGAATTTTAAACGTGTTAGATCACAAAGTAACAGTCCGCATGACGTCGTGTAAACGGCCACAGGCACTTGTCTCTAAAATATATTCGTTACAACCTTTATACTTTAGTGATATATATATAAAGGGTAAATTATTACCGGAAACAGTATTCTGACTTCTTTCAAATCAAAAGGGTTTTATTGCCATTGAATGGTGTGTCCGACTTTTCTCGGTTGTCAAAGAAAATAAAATGTATTTGCAAATACGAAGTGCACTATTAATTTCAGCAGTTATATTAGCACGGGTTATTTCATTATCTAAACACAGATCAACACACCTTATCTATACATGTATCATAAATATGAATTTTCCTGATAATGTAGAATTATGAAAGCTATTAATCAAATCAACGTCTGACCTTAAAGTATAAAAATAATGGAATCCGAAGCAAGATGATATTGCCATTTTGTTGTATATTTTATGGACAAAACAGTAGATAAAAAGGCATCAGAATGTAAATGGTTACCAAACTTACTTTAAGGATATAAATGATTAAATGTAATAAAAAGGGTCGTGTTTTTAAAACGTGAAATGCATAAAAATTTCACTGTGTGCAAATTTTCTCTGAAATTTCAAGATCTTTCAAGACTGTTAAACAAAATTATTTTTTGTCTGCACAGTGTTTATATCTATAAAAGGGTGTTCCTTAGATTTTTGTAAATTTAGGAAAGAACTTTTCCGGTAAACATTGTCACTCAGTTAGTTTAAAAAACCTTTATTAATTTTATTTACAAGAGTGCACACACTGAAATGTCTCTGGCCTGCATAAACCTTTACTTATCATGATTGAATTTATGTTGAAAGTCTGTAATATGAAGGATTTGCTTCAAATATCAAATACAATTAACATTATCAATGATCAGCGTAAATGAGACAAACAGGTACACCTTACAATCATACCATTCACCAAAACAGTTAGCCTATTGCTCATAGTATCTGAGAAGACCTAAGAGAGCAACCATTTAACTTCAAGGGGGGGGGGGGTTATGTTTTTTTTGTCGGAGTCAGAATTTTTTTTTTTAGTTTTTCGAAGCTATCAATCAAATTTTTTTTTCTTCAAAATTTAACACTATAAGGTATGGGGAAAATCTGGATTCAAAATTTTTTTTTGTCATCTGCTTGACCACAATATTTTTTTTCCATCAAATTGGGGATCAGAATATTTTTTTAGGAAAAAACCATAACCTCCCTTGAAGTTAAATGGTCGTTCCCTAATGAAACATATTGAACATTGACCAATGAACCATAAAAATGAGGTAAAAGCAAGATTAACCCTGGCAGACAACCTGCAATAATTCCATACCCAAAATATAGCTGACATATTGCTTATAGTATCTGAGCAAAAGACATAACTATGCAAACTAAACATTGACCAATGAACCCTGAAAATGAGATCAAGGTCAGATGAAACATGCCAGACAGACATGTAAACCTTACAATCATTCCATATACCAAGTATAGTGACCCTATAGCATATAGTATCTTCGAAATAGACTAACAGGAGAACTTAACATTGTTCAATGCACCATGAAAAACGGTCAAGATCAGATGAAACCTGTCAGATGGCCATGTACATTTTACAATCATTCCATACACCAAATATAGTGGCCCTATTGCTTATAATACCTGAGAAACAGATAAAAACACAAAAACTTAACATTGACCAATGAATCATGAAATAAGGTCAAGTTGATATGAACCCTGCCAAACAGACATGCACATCTTACAATCATTCTATAAATCAAAAATTGAGCTATTGCTTATAGTATATGATAAAACTGACAAAACCATGAAAACTTTACATTTACCTATGAACCATGAAAATGAGTCAAGGACATATGAAACTGCCAGACAAACATTTTTAATTTCAACTGAATTTTATAGTTTGTTCTTATGTTGTGCTGTTACACCACTGTCCCAGGTTAGGGGAGGGTTGAGCTCTCACAAACATGTTGAGCTACAGACGCAAACAAATACATTATAGATAAGGTTGCCTATAATTGCTTACATCCACTTTATTTGAACTTTGGTGGATAGTTGTCTCATTGGCAATCATACCTCATCTCCTTATTTTTATATGTACACCTTACAATCATTCCATACAAGAAATAAAGTGGCCCTATTGCTTTCAGTATCTTAGAAATAAACTAAACCACAATAACTGAACATTGTCCAATGAACCATGAAAAAGATGTCAAGGTCTAATGAAACCTGCCAGTCAGATATCTACACATAACAACCATACCATAAACCAAATATAGTTATCATCTAAGAAACAAACCTAATTAAAAATAAAATGCTTCGCTGAGCGCAGCCTGATACGACGCCAGGGGTCAAACCCTGAACAGTTGGGGCAAATTTGGACACAATATTTCAGCTTGTCTTGATACTGTCTGAATTTGGATTGCGATCAAATTTTTGACATAATATAGGTTTCTGACACAAAATAAATGTTGTCAAAGATCTTACAAAGCTATTGTGCAATACTGTGCAACTGAAGGTTTCTTCTTTCTTCTTGAAACTTTTCAAAAATTTGAAATTTGAAAAATTTTGAAAAAAAAATATGAACCCCTTAAAAAATTGGAAAAAATATTTTTGAATCCCTCCTTGGAGCAATTACCCCCAAACTCAATCCCAGCCTTTCTTTTGTAGTATGGAACCTTTTAGTACAATTTTAGAGAGATCCATTCACTTAAACACAAGTTATTGCCTTGAAACTAGAAAAAATGCTTGTTTTTGGCCCCTTTTTCCTGCATGTTTGGGGCAATTACCCCCAAACTCATTCCCAGACTTCCCTTTGTGATATGGAACCTTGTGGTACAATGTCAGAGAGATCCATACACTCACACACAAGTTATTGTCTGGAAACTACAAAAATGCTTGTTTTTGGCCCCTTTTTTGCCCTTAATTCCTAAACTGTTGGCACCATGACCCCCAAAATGAATCCCAACCTTCTACTTGTGGTATTAAACATTGTGGTACAATTTCAGAGCAATCAAAATACTTATACACAAGTTATTATCCTGAAACTAGAAAAATGCTTGTTTTGGGCCCCTTTTGGGCCCCTAATTCCTAAACAGTTGGGACCATCATCCCCAAAATGAATCCCAACCTTCCTTTTGTGGTATTGAACCTTCTTAAAATATTTCAATACAGATCCATTCACTTAAACTAAAGTTATTGTCCTGAAACCAAATGTGTCTTCGGACGACGACGCAGACGACGTCGACATCATACCATTATACCATCCCAAAAAAAATTTTGCGGTCGTATAAAAACTGAACATAAACAATGAACCATAAAAATGAGGTAAAGGTAAAGACACCATGAACACCATGCAATGATTCCATACATTAAATATAGTTGATTGATTGCTTTAATATAGTATCTGAGAAACAGACATAACCTTGATAACTTTCCATTGACCAATGAACTATGAAAATCAGGTCAAGATCATATGACACCTGCTAGACAGACATCTACACCTTTCAATAATTCCATACACAGAATATTGTGGTCATATTGCTAATAGTATTCGACCTATACACTGTCCAATAAACCATGAAAAAAGGACAGGGTCACACGAAACCTGCCAGACAGATGTGTACACCTTACAATCATGTCATATACCAAATACAGTTAATTTATCATTTATAGTATCTAAGAAACAGACCAAAATACCAAAACTTAACATTGACCAATGAACCATGAAAATGAGGTTAAGGTCAGATGAAACATGCCAGTATGACATGTACATATTTCAATCATCCCATATATCAATTAAATCACTGATCCATTAAATGAGGTCGAGGTCAGGTGAACCCAGTTCTGTTGACCTTGCAAGTATCCCATATACCAAATATCGCTATCATATTACTCATAATAAAAGAGTATTTCACATGACACGACATTAACTTTCATTTTCTAACAAGCAGTCACTTGAACCATGAAAATGAGGTCAAGGACAATTGACATATGACAGATGGAAACTTTGAAACAAAGGTTTTCTGCATTCAAGGTATGAAGCATCCAGGTTTTCTATCATCAGAAATATTAAGCAAATAGTTTACACAGCTGTTGCTGGATGTAATCTTTATATCTTGCATTTTGGACTTCTAAAACCACAGCAAGTTAAGAAGATGAGCACTATTTTTATTCTGGACAAAACTAAGCCAAATATTTTTCTGTACTATAATGAGAAATTGTACCAGCATATTTTGCCAGATAATTATGAGAGGAACATTGTTATTTCTACTACTGTTTTCCGTTGTAATCTAGGTGCAAGATTTGGTTTATAGATATAAAATAACCACAATTTATTGTAATATATTTTTTATCAAATAAGGTACAGTATTTAGTTAACATGTAAGAAAAATTATAAAATTTTAAAGAACAATGATAAAAAAAAATAAACAAAACAAAATAATCTCTGTAGTATAAGAACACCAAATAATTGTTCATGAGATACATCATCAACTGTATTATGCACGGACTCTGATTTGAAAGGGAAATGGTCAGTCAAGATGGAGATAACAAATTAATTATTAAAGGTTTGTTCACTTTCAATGTATCAAAAACCCTTGCAACAACTCTTTAAAGGTTTTGTAGGTGGCCTGTTGCAAGGCCAAATTCATGTCCCTATCTAAATTTCTTGCCCTTCATGCTGGTCAAACCACTTGACAGAATCTACCTTCTATTATGCTTATAATTTATCATGCAATTATACACTATAAATGTTAATCATGTGGTGGCATAGTTTACTACACACTATTTTTTTTTTAATTAACACTATAACTTTTAAAATAAACATAAATATAAAGACTGCAAAATACTTATCATATAGATAAATGTTATATACAGGTTCACCCCTTGGTTTTGAGGCTGATAAGCTCTTTTTGTACTCTGCTTGTAATACATACATGTACAAGATGCTTTACTGTAGATGAGAAGTTGAATATCCTAAATCATCTAGGAATATAGAACATCTTTTCTCTTTTGGGACATATTTGTTGTATATATGGATTATGCATCTTTTGTATATATATATATTTTTGAAATGGAATGTAAAAGATAAAATGTCTACACATTTGAACACACTTGACCACTATTCATTACTTAACAAAATGGTAAAAATACATATATATTAAAGTACAGTAATTGATTTTTTTCTTTACATTTGTGTCAATTTAAACTTAATTTCAACATGGAAGTAGAAAACTTACAATTTATGGTACAATGTACAGTTACCCACACTATCTTACTTTTTACTGATTTCATGTCAAATAATCAACTTAAGGATGGGGATTTTGGAACAACATTGTGATTGTATGGTACACATATTCACAAATATGTATTTAAACTTTTGTATCTAATATGTTTGCATTTAGGTTTTATTCAATATTTTTTTTCTAATTCTGATTTCTGTATCATGCAAGTTGTCAACTTAAACCATTCTTTAACACATATACACACAGCTGAATCCTGTTATGTTTTTCTGTTTGTTTTTTTTGTGAAAAGAATAACTTGAATGATTCTTAGTAATAAATTCTAGATAATCATATGGTTGATTAGGACATTCTAGTACTAAATATACCATGAGACTCTAACTTTAGTAAAAAATGTCATTTCATTCCTTTTCATTAATTATAAAAAAAAGAAGACATTGACAGTATAAATAAACTAACAAACAGTTAATTATTGTATAATTAATTTTGCAAATTTTCAAGTTTGAGTACCCAGACATCATTACATGGTAGCTTGTTAATTGTTATAGGAGGTATAGTTACTTCTATACCACCTCCTGAATTTGGTTTCCAGTCAAAGTTTCCATCGTATCCAAGCATACTGACGATTGTTGACGATGAAGATACTGGCGCACCAAGAATTACTGTGTTATCTGCTGGCCAAAATAACAAAATGGCATAGACTGTAACATCACTACCAGCAATCTGTGATGTATACCTTAAATAAAGGAAATATAATCACATTTTTAATGTGGTATTTCAGATTTGTTTTTTTTCTCGTTCAAACTTTTATTACCCATATTCATTCTTCCAAAATTAAGCAGGTCATACTGTGGTATGATAGGAAAGTATTTATCATCTTATATCTTTGCTGTCAGTTGATGACTTTCAAGCTTGTTTTATTTCATTTTTTGTCAAAATATGAACTAGAATTATGTTAGATGTCAACAAAGTCGGAATCTATTGACTAAGTTTTTTTTTACTTTTCATATTTCAACTACCGTCCTTTGTTCAATTGTTTACATTGGCAAGACTGTTTTATCCCAATTATTCACACTCTGGTGGACTGTAATTTAAAATTCTATAGGACCATTTCTATGGATTATTTCAACACTGAATTCATGCTCTTATCTGCAATAGACAACATAAGTATATGTGTATATTTTCCTCTTTTTCAGTTGTCATTTTCTAACTCGGTCATCTTACACATTTTTCATTCCCCTCACTATATCTTATGTCATATTACCATATATATTTAGTGATAGTGTCATTTTGATGACTCCAAGGTTTTGATCCATAAATAGCTTCTCCATTTACACCCAACCATTCACCAAGTTGCTTAAGTCTCTCCTGATAGATAGGTATAATCATTCCATCTTTTGTTGGTCCAATATTAATAAGTATATTGCCACCAGTGCTGAAGTAGAAATATATTTTATTGTTTATTCATGTGGATACATGCACAATTTTCGCTTTTAAATTTCTGTTCCATATTGTCTTTATCATTGATTTATACATTTGTAGTAATTTATAGTCATATTTCCATAAGCACAACTGTGACAAAACATGCCTTAAATGATAATCATTGTATATGTGGAAAAAACAAAAAATAAATGACCTTGAATATAAATATAACTGATTTTGATTAAGAAGTGCATCTTATACAACTAAATAATATCTTCTTGAGGAAAAGTTTTACTTTTAATTGTAACTCACTTTTTGTCTTGTTACTAATTTTTTGCCCAACTTAAAATAGTCAATAACTTGCTGTTCAATATTACCTAACTGTTTCTGCGACCTCTGATAAAAGTTCATGCATACTGAAATAATCAGCTAGTCTGGCATTACGTCTGTAGCCCCAGGAATATCTATCCATTTCCATACAGTTTTCCCACTTTTTTTTATTCAACACACCTATTAAACATATATAATTATATTATAAACATTCAGACTTCTTATTCTTCAAATATGTCCTCAACAGTATCCTTTATAATTGTGCAAAACAAGAATATCTCCATCTTTAAACTTTCAAATCAAAGGTAATGATAGTAATATGTATATGAATAATATGTGGATTCTAAATGTTATAAGAGGCTCCCAAGACCTAAATGGCTCACCTGGTAAAAATATGCCATTTTGATATTTATTTTACTTTTATGGCAATCAGTTTAAAAACTGGTAGCAAAGATAAAGCCAAGGATTGTTACACACCAACAAATAAAAAAAGCAAAAACATGAGTGTGAATAATAACTACCAACTTAAGATCAAAGGATAAGACAGTAAATTTCAACACAACTTTCACCAAATGTTTGCTTACTATGAGCAAAATTATAGATGCTACTAATGGAGTAGGATCTGGTTACCCTTCCGAAGCACGATGATCACCCCTGGTTGTTGGTCTGGTTCGTCTGTATTTTTCCAAGTAGAGCTATTTTTTTTAAATTGTTTGTCCTCTTGTCGTCTTTTATTTCTTTTCAACTACAAGTTTTGATTGTACCATTGGTATCTTCTGCCTCATTTCTACATGCAGAATTAACCAAATTCATCAAACAGACCAAGAAACTAGAGGTATAGGGGGAGGGTTGAGATCTCACAAAACATGTTTAACCCTGCCGCATTTTTGCGTCTGTCCCAAGTCAGGAGCCTCTGGCCTTTGTTAGTCTTGTATGTTTTTTAATTTTAGTTCATTTATATGTTTTGGAGTTTAGTGTGACGTCCATTTTCACTGAACTAGCACACAATTTTATTTAGGGGCTCAGCTGAGGACCACCTCTGGGTGCGGAATTTTCTTGCTGCATTGAAGACCCATTGGTAGCCTTCGGCTGTTGTCTGCTCTTTGGTCGGGTTGTTGTCTCTTTGACATATTTCCCATTTCCATTCTCAATTTTATATTACAATGGAAATGCATAGGATTTAACCATTTAAGTCTCAATCCCTGCATTATGTTTTAGTTTATAGGAGGTTCAGTCATTCAGATAAGATAAATGCATGGTTGTACATCTAGTCAATGCAGACCTGGGTTATACTTGTCATTGCAGTTCAGGAAACCTCCATGTTTACATCTGATATTACTTCCCCATCTGTCATTCACACAAACTTTGTCTTTCACTGGACTGAAAATAAAAACCCAAATATTTTAAATCTATCAATGAACTGACTTGTTAAATAGATGAAAAAGTGTAAAGAAGAAACCAATTATCATTTTGTTATTAATGCTAAGAGACATATAATACATCTCTGATGCATACCACTGAACATGTTATTTCTCCAATGTATTGTTATAGACTAATCACAGTCCGGGGTTTGTCTTCAGTACCAGTTTGTTTCTCTGTCAGCACTTACTTTAGCTGTTTAAAAATCCACCTACTGTACTCTGGCAGTGTACAAACAATTTTCTTTACACATAGTAAATGAGGATTTTTAAAACCAAACCTCTGTGGATTAAAAATCTGCTACAGCAAAGTTTGAACTGTTATACCAGATACTTATAATGGTATTATAATACATATCTCTGGTTATACAATTATACACACAAACATTACTTGTAGAATAATTTTACATTAATCTTATCCATTTCATAGAATAAAAAGTGATTTTTAACTTTGATCCCTTGTTTTCACCAACTCATAATTTAAGCCCCAAAAAATTGGAATTTTTTGAACTGCAATAATGTTGTAAAAATTTGATGAGAACATATGTTAAAATGTCCAATTGTTTCAGTTAAAAATTTCAGCAATTGTGTCATTAGTGATGTAAATGTGACATCACAAGTGTAGGCGAATTTTGTAAAACCTGATTTTTTGAAGAATTTTGCAAAATAAATGACAGCTTTCTGAAAAATTAACAGTGGCGCCACCCTTCGCCCACAAATATTTTTGTTGAAATTGTCTTATTATGCCATATTCTTTACTTTTCAACCAAAATTTCAATGGGCGAGGGGTGGCACCACATATGAAATTATGAAAAAAGGTAGAAAAATTTGACAAATTTCGAAAAAAATGGAAGAAAGTGAAATCTTTTCATATATTTATAAATGTGAAGCAGATATACAATTTTTCTTATCATACTTTCAAATAGTAAACATTTAGCAATGCATACACATCAGATTTACTTAAACAATTGATGTTTAAAAAATACACCTTAACAGGGCCATTTTTTGGGGTTCCGGGCTCTACTCCTTTTTAAAACTGTGCAATTATGACTCAACAATAGAAAGACAAAGTCTGGACACAAACAGAAGACAGCTATAAGACTAGTTTAAACAGTTACTTCATAATTATACCTCTCATTATATAACCAAGCAAGGAAATTTGTAGCATTCCAATACACATCTGTAGTTGTCCAGTCTCCATCTGACCATATAATATCTGGCTGGTATCTATTTACCATCTCATATAGCTCAGGCATCGTTTTGGTCTGTCAAAGGTATATCAATAAGTTTAATTAAAGAGCAGATCAAATTAAACAAGCATTCTGTGAGTATTGCCTGGCAATACATAGTCCCCTACCAGCTAAAAATTCATTGTACTGGAACAAAATGCTAACTTGATCTATAACTTGTCATGGTGTAAACTATATAACAAATATCAAGTCAATATCTTCAAGCATAATGAAAAAAAATGTGGGAAATTGATCATTTGAGTGAACTTTTTCTTAGTCCAAGGACCATAACTCTGCACAAAATCATCAGACTGGAACACAATTCTAACTTGATCTGTACCTTGTCATGATAAAACTATATACCAATCATCAAATCAATATCTTCAACCATGACAAAAAAAAGTGCGGAAAACTAATTATTTGAGTGAATTTTCTAAGTTCAAGGACCATAACTCTAAACAAAATCGTCAGACCGGAACAAAATTCAAACTTGATCTGTAACTTGTCATGATTAAACAATACACCAAATATCAAATCAATATCTTCAAGCACGAAGAAAAAAACTGTGGAAAACTGATTTGCCGGACAGACAGGACAGACAGACAGACAGACAGGACAGACAGACAGACAGACAGACAGACAGACAGACAGACAGACAGACAGACAGACAGACAGACAGACCAGACAGACAGACAGACGAAGTGCGAACCTAAAGTCCCCTTCGACTTCCTCAGTAGGAAACTAATAATGCAGACATAATGATTATCTTGACCATGCCGTTATTGAAAAAGAGTTTTTAATGCTTTTTGATAATAAAATTGTGTTTTATATCTGTTATATGGATTGTATGATTATTTGATATTTAAGAGGTTTTTGCTTTAATACAAGTGACCAAACAACAAAACAAATACTGATATGTTAAATATCTATCAAAATTGAAGTCAATTTTTACAAAGCAATTCCTTATCTGACTAATATGATTTTTCTGTAAAAATGAATCTAAAATTTTAATACACCAAGTGTTGACTGGGGTATATAAATATGGGCTGATGGAAAGGGTCTGTTTGGCTGAGCAGGATGTATAAAAACGTAGCAACATAATGTCAGCTTGGGGAAGTTTAAATCTGTTACCTTGGGAATGGAAAGTGTCAAAAAACCATTACATTAAGTCTTTGAGGGGTATACTGCTAAAAAATTTACTTCCCCAAACCAACATACATCTTTTTTTACAATGCGATCCACATTTCTGGTTCAACCGTCATAGAATCTACCTAATTCATTTCATCGTTTAATTTATTCTTAATATACATTAAATATTTGGCAAGGAATGTAAGGCAAACAATAAACATTTATTACAAAGTATAAAAAAACATATAAAATTTCATCTCAACAATAGCCCTACTCACTCTGACAAAGTCCTGAGTCTTGAATCCATTCTCTCTGTCCTGAATGTATAGAGGGTTGAACCATTCAAGTAAAGAATGGTACATTCCAAAATGTATGTCAGTCTTAGATCGTACTGCTTTAGCAAGTTCTCCTTAATATAATATGAAAGAAAAAAAATGTAATAGATATTGAGTGTCTATATTGTGTTGTTGCTGTCTCATTGATTCATATAACTATCCTTTGTCATTTAAAATACAAAGAAAATATAAGTTATAAATAGTCTAGATAAAACAAAGTAAAAGATTGGCAAACAAATTTAAATAAGTCATATCACTGGCACATATATATGGACTTCTATAAAGCCAACTTGACATTTTAACAGAATGTTATCTGCTATGTTCGAATTTCCAATCAATTTCAGAAAAGAACAACAGTGAATCCAATCAGTGCAGTTATGATACTTTATTAACAGTAAATAATGTGAGTGGTGTCCAAGGCAACTTTTACTGATCAGGAGTAGAAAAGACATGTTACATATGAGAAATGACTGAAAGGGCTGAAGTTTAAATGACGGAAGAGGGCTCAACTTCAAATAACTTAAAAGGTCTTAGCTTCAAATGATTGTAAAGAGCTGAACTGCAAAAAATAGTTTTAAAATTTCCATGATTTCTGAGCACTTGAATAATTAATATATTTTAAATGAAACTTATCACAATAACAAGTCTGTTTTTATTTTCTTGTGCTATATATGCATGGTTTTTATGAAAGAAGCTATTTCCACACCAGTTTCAAAACAACTTTTTTGTGGCTTGGAAATTTCCCCCTTTAATAATAAATGTGTTATATATAATATGTTTCCACAAAAAGATTGCATTGGTATGAGCAAGAAATAGAAGATAAAGGTAAATGAAATAGTAAACATGATAAAGAAACTTAAAGCAATAAAATCTTATAATACTGAGTATAATGATGCCCCAATGTAAGTGCCTGTGTTCTTAAAACAGAAACATTTCAAACATTTAGCATAATTTTAGAGAAGTATTATGAAATAATAAAGATACACAAAACAAAGTATAGAAATGGAAATGGAAATAGTTTGGGATATATATGTTTTCACTGTTAAGCTTTATTAAAATGATACTGCATTACCTTGTGCAACACAAAACATCCACAAGAAAGACACACACATACGCAACAGAACAATTGGATTATGTTAAAATGAAATAGGCAACACATTTAAATTGAAATCATGCAAAAATCATATGCAGCATTGTAAAATTTGACATAATTTCTTGCATGCCTACCTACCAACAATGTCTCTATTTGGGCCAACATCCATTGCATTCCAGTTCCATGAATAATTAGATGGCCAGAGGGTAAACCCCTCATGATGTTTACTCACTAACACAACATATCTGCAAAATGTTATAAAGAACTACATCACATGTAAATCAGCTACATACCTACAATATCTCTCCTAGGCCCTACATCCATAGAGTTCCAGTTCCAGGAATAGTTTGATGGCCAAAGGGGAAAACCTTCACAATGCTTGCTAACTAACACTACATACCTAGAGAACAGATAAACATTATAATGACCATCATATGGAGATGTATGAGAATAAAATAAAATGTAGGGTATAAGTCAATGAGACCAAAAATAACCCAAAGACAACTAGACAGCATCATACACTCTTCAACAAAAGAGTACTGGAAAAAACTTTCTACAAAACAAAGATATTGTAAATTCAGCAAAAATAAATAAATATATTCAATGACAAAGATGTTTTAATGGATGTTGAAAATTTTACTTGACAACCAACCAGACAATGATTTTATGTAGTTTAGGTGCAAAATATTTTTAGCTAATTAAATGGTGATAATTGGTAGGAAGCTTTGTTTTAAAAAAAAAAGTCAAAGTATACAATTTGAAATAAATTAACAAATTTGAAGAGGAATCATCAGTGTTTCATCTGTACAATGGCCACCTTTTTTTTTTATAAAAAGATTTTCTTTTTGTACTTTTATTGGGGTGAAAAGGCATGTACCAAAATACATTTTGTATCATGTTAGTCAACACTTTTTTACCAAAATTAAAAAGCATTCAATTCTTAAAAATACATTTTATTGCTGAAAATTTTGTTTCTCACTATTATAGAGATATTAAGATCAAATTAGAGTTATCTTTCTTTGTACAGCTGACTGACTCTCCATTTCAATTTGTTTGCAATTTTGTATTAATCAACATGAGAACTTTCTGTGAAAGATGTGCAAGTGTGCAAATCAGTTTTCTTTTGATTTTTCTTAATCATATGCCTATAATGAGCCCTTTAAATAATTTGAATAAGTGTATACTTTCAAAGTATAAACTATTCAATATGATTGCCAATGAGAAAACTATCCAACGAAGTCTTTGGTGGATAAGTTGTCTAATTGGCAATCATACCACATCTCCTTATTTTTATATAGTTATGATAATGAAAAACTAGTTATGATAATGAAAAACTTGTTCAAGCTATTCATTTGTTTTGTTTTACAGTATTCCTTCGCATTGATGTGTATTATTGTCATGTGTTAGTAGGATTGGGATAGTTTTACTGTTACTTGACTGTAAGTAATGCTCTCCTGTGACCTATTGCAGTTCATTCAAAATTAAGACCCAATTGCAATTTGTTTTATCAAATCAAAATGTTCAACTTGTCAGAAATATTAACCAACTGCTGAAAAGAAACAGTCAAGTTATCAAAGTGCAAAGTGATTAATAAGTAAAGTATCCTTCGCTCATAACTACATAACTCCCTTGAGAAGGCAAAGTTGACCTTAGATGGATTTGCCTATTATCTTTAGGTCCTGTTTAGTCAAATAGCTAACTGCTTCTGTTCTTTTATACATCAATATAAATTTGAATGAACTGCAATAGGTGGCCATGGAGAAAAACACTTAAAATGTATAATCAAGTCACAGTAACGTTCTATACAGCAACTTAATGCTCCAAGTCAGATGGTCAAGCTTGTTGCATTTTTTTGATCTTAACATCACTTTATAACAGCATGTGATTGTTGTCTGCCAATCAAATGATGGAATCCTTATGAAACACAATTAAAAAAATCTATATCTTTTTATGGAAAGTCAAGCTAGATAGAAAATCTACCTGTCATAACCAATAGACCTTATCGCTATTTGGAAATCTGCGCTGCCTGACCTGAGAATCTGTGCCTCTTGAAATATAGACCACCTTTGAGTTTGTCCTTCACCAGAAAAAACTCGTCAATTATGGACGCCTTTATGACGTCATTTACCAGATAGAGGGGATCGCCTGTATCCCTGCACTATTAACATTCATCAAGCGTCTAAGTGATCGTCATTGTGCAGGATAAACTAGAAATAATGTTTGTTCTGTAGGTACTTAATCACAATTCCCTAATGACAGCAGTGCTGATTGTCAATTATGAGAATTCAATTTGCCGAATAATTCATGCAATATACATGATATAGCATCATAGTTTTCCAACCACTCGCTCAACATGGGAACGGAAGTGACGACGCCCCTAAACGCACGAATGATGTTCACTAAAACCAAAGTTTTTGACGGAAATGCATGGAACTCAAAAGTTGTCTATTGACGCGATACAACAATCGTTTTCCATTGTGGCGTCAGATATTTTCTATTATGATGTCAAAATTTTACGGGAACCATTGCTGATGTCCAGTAATGGTGGACAAATAGCGATAAGTTGTATTAGATTAATAATAAATTATTGATTATAATATGAATTGCCTTGTCTTTTGCAAATTTTCAGTTGCAATATATCTGAGGCGAAATGTAACCAATATCTGTCATGTCTGTACGGTACATTAAATAAAAGAAATTACAATACATATTGATCTATATTACCAAATGTATGGTATAATTTCTTTGCGCTTACTTTGCTCCTGAAGACTTCAGTATTTCTGCCCATTCGTTGGCATTAAAAAATTCAGCTGAAAATTGTGATGCGAAATCAGGGTATGTGAAATCAGGTCTATAATTTTTCTTCATAAAGTCCACTGTAGCAGGATTCTTTGCTTCCTTCCATGTCCACCAAAACCATTCTGTCCCAAATGACGGAACCGAAAATACTCCCCATGTGATGAAAATTCCTATCTTTGCTTCATCATACCATGATGGAAGAGGTCTTGAATCTAGAGACTCCCAATTTGGCTCGTACTTGACACAAGAAACATATAAGATATTATTGAAGACAACGAGAAAAGTAAGAACCAAAAATAATGTTATTGTCTTTTCCATGTTGACTTTGTTGTGTAAAGTTGATATATAAATAGGTTTTTTTCATGGATGATCAGCTATCATGTGACATGCAAATCATGAACAGTTCTCCGAGATATTAGTCAAACAGTTACTGGGATAAAGCAAGAATTTCAATGTAGTTTTGCTCGGAATCAAGTCGTTCCGTCCCAATTTAGCTCAACCATAAATATATGAAAAAATTCTGGGCTACGATAAAAATTGCAAAATCCGGAAAGAGTTGAATACGTAAAAGTTTCGGTTATTACTAATTTTAAGCGTCGTTCAGATGATCAAACTCTTGATAAAGCTTTAAAAATATTAAACATGGGATTTGAGAAAAAGAAGAAAAAACAGCCAAAGAATAGAAAAACAAAGACAGTTCTTGTATTTGATGTTAAAGCCAGAGAGTAATTGCATATTTTGAAATGTTGTTTGCATTGCTTATGAAGACAGAAGTCCACAAAACATTAAAACTAAAAATAATTGAGCAATATAAACCTCACAGTTACACAGGCACATGTCTCTGTAAAAAATAAATATACCTATATATTTATACCTTTACTTTACACAAAGTACTTATCTTGTATTTTTCGTGAAATGACACTAGGTCGTAAATTTTCGTTTTTTTCTATTCTGTTGCATCTAAATTTTACAAGGTCCACCATTTTCATGATTCAGTCGGTTCTATATACCTTATCGCTAATCCCGCTTGACCTGAGAATCAGTCCCACTCGAACTTTTGACGTCATACAACAATCACTTTTCCATTGTGGCGTCAGATATTTTCTATTATGACGTCAAAATTTTACGGGAACTTGTGTGATGTCCAGTAATGGCGGACAAATAGCGATAAGGTGTATTTTTATACGTCCGTTTACGGGACGTATTATGGTACACCGTTGTCTGTCTGTCCGTCTGTTAGTCGTCAACATGTCGGACAATAACTCAAAAATGCTTGAACCAATTTGCATGAAACTTTGGTGAATTGTTAATATCTATTGACATGAGCTCCCTTTCGTTTTTTATAAATTTTAGATTTTAAGTTTCCGAGTAATGGGTTTTTTCATTAAAAAAGGGAGATTTTCCAGTTTTTGGACAATAACTCAAAAACACTTTCACCAATTTGCAAGAAACTTTTGTGAATTGTTTATATCTATTGCCATGAGCTCCCTTTCGATTTTTATAAATTTTAGATTTTATGTTTCGGAGTTATGTGATTGTATTCATAAAAAAGGAGGTATTTTTCAGTTTTCGGTCAATGCTTTGAGCAGTTATCATGAAACTTTGGTGACTGGTTTATATCTATTAAGATAACCTCCCTTTAGTTTTTCATGAATTTCTAATATGACATTGAGAAGTTATTAAACTTTATTCTTTGAAAAAGCGATGGGCGTATCATGCGCTCATGGCGCAGCTGTTTTTTTTTCTACTGTTTCGTACAGATAAAAAGAGTCATTGTGGTTTGTTCTGAGAACGTTCAGTAGTATGTCAAATCAGATACTGGTTTTATAGAAACTTGCAGATAGATGGACTTAAATGTTGCTCTTAACATTTACTCATATAATAGAATATTTTATTTTTTCCAAATTACAGGGCTTTTAAAGAGCATATAAATCAGATACAACGATTGAAGTAATTGAGTCAACAATAAGACATAACAATATAATAATTTAATATGTATCCTCAATCTTAAGGCCTGTTGGCACAAATATATCACCACTTATAACTGAGTCCGTCAGAGTCTGTGCCAAAAACAAAAAATAAGACATTTATATCATATTCATGTACCAGTATCATGACCTGCTTTTTCTTAACTCAAAAGAACTACCAATAAATTACCTTTTTAGCTCACCTGGCCCAAAGGCCCAAGTGAGCTTTTCTCATCACTTGGCGTCCGTCGTCGTCGTTAGCTTTTTACAAAAATTTTCTCCTCTGAAACCACTGGGCCAAGTTTAAAGTTTAACCAAACTTGGCCACAATCATCATTAGGGTATCTAGTTTAAAAAATGTGTCCGATGATCCCGCCAACCAACCAAGATGGCCGCCATGGCTAAAAACAGAACATAGGGGTAAAATGTAGATTTTGGCTTATATCTCTAAAACCAAAGCATTTAGAGTAAATCTGACAGAGGGTAAAATTGATTATTAGGTCAAGATCTATCTGCCCTGAAATTTTCAGACAAATCTGACAACCTGTTGTTGGGTTGCTGCCCCTGAATTGGTAATTTTAAGGAAATTTTGCAGTTTTTGGTTATTATCTTGAATATTATTATAGATAGAGATAAACTGTAAACAGCAATAATGTTCAGCAAAGTAAGATCTACAAATAAGTTGTCATGACCAAAATTGTCAGTCGACCCCTTTAGGAGTTATTGCCCTTAATAGTCAATTTTTAACAATTTTTTGTAAATTTTTGTAATCTTTTACAAAAATCTTCTTCTCTGAAACTACTGAGACAAATTTAACCATACTTGGCCATAATCATTATTAGGGTATCTAGTTTAAAAAATTTGTCCGATGATCCCCACCTTCCAACCATCATGGCCGACTTGGTTAAAAATAGAACATAAGGGTAAAATGCAGTTTTTGGTTTATATCTCTGAAACTAAAGCATTTAGAACAAATCTGACAGGTGGCAAAAATGTTCATCAGATTTAGATACATCTGCCCTGAAATTTTCAGACGAATCCGACAACTCGTTGTTGGGTTGCTGCCCCTGAGTTAGTAATTTTACAAAAATTTTGCAGTTTTTATACGACCGCAAAAAAATTTTTGTGGTCGTATATTGGTATGACGTCGTCGTCGTCGTCCGGCGTCGTCATCCAAAGACACATTAGTTTTCGCACTCTAACTTAAGTTTAAGTGAATGGATCTCTATGAAATTTTACCATAAGGTTCAATACTACAAAAGGAAGGTGGGGATTGATTTTGGGGGTTATGGTACCAACAGTTAAGGAATTAGGGGCCAAAAAGGGGCCAAAAATAAGCATTTTTGTAACTTCCAGACATAACTTGTGTGTAAGTGTATGGATCTCTCTGACATTGTACCACAAGGTTCCATATCACAAAGGGAATGCTGTGATTGATTTTGGGGGTAATTGCCTCCAAATTTTAGGAATTAGGGGCAAAAAAGGGGCAAAAACAAGCATTTTTCTAGTTTAATGACAATAACTTGTGTGTAAGTGTATGGATCTCTCTGACATTGTATCACAAGGTTCCATATCACAAAGGGAATGCTGGGATTGATTTTGAGGGTAATTGCCTTCAAATTTTAGGAATTAGGGGCCAAAAAGGGGCAAAAAACAAGCATTTTTCTAGTTTCATGACAGTAACTTGTGTGTAAGTGTATGGATCTTTATGAAATTGTACAACAAGGTTCCATATCACAAAGGGAAAGCTGGAATTGAGTTTGGGGGTAATTGGCCAAAAAGTTTAGGAATAAGGGGCCAAAAATAAGCATTTTTCTAGTTTCCAGACAATAACTTGTGTTCAGGTGTATGGATCTCTCTGAAATTGTACTGCAAAGTACCATACCACAAAGGTAATGCTGGGATTGATTTTGGGGGTAATTCCCTCGAAATTTTAGGAATTAGGGGCCATAAAAGGGCCAAAAAACAAGCATTTTTCTAGTTTCAGGACAATAACTTGTGTGTAAGTGTATGGATCTTTCTGAAATTGTACTGCAAGGTTCCATATCACAAAGGGAAAGCTGGGTTTGAGTTTGGGGGTAATTGCCCTAAACGTTTAGGAATTTGGGGCCAAAAAGAATCGACTGAAATAGACACTTAGGTAATTAAAAAGAGTCCAAAATCTTTCATCAGATGAACCTGAATTTTGAGGCCAAAATCGGCCCTTACCGGACCTACTCCTTTATTATGTGACCTTTCAGCTGTATCCTGAGATAAACCTTTTCTACAAATATATTAATTTCTTTTCATACATGCAACTGAATCAGTAGTTATAAACATTCCCCAAATTTCACAGCCAAACAAAAGAATTGGATTTGTTGTTTGATCATATTGATGTATAAAAGTTGTAATACTAGGATTAGAGGATGACAAACACCTCTGTAACTTAAAACATGCTTTAAGTGATTTTTTGTATAATTCATCTTTACATTGTTTACATTTGCCAATTGATGGTAATGTAATTCCAAGATATTTATAGAATTTTGCACATTCAATGTCTTTTCTTCCAAAATAAATTCGGCATTTTAAAAAATTTCCTAATTTATTGAAAATTAAAATCTTTTGTCTTATTAATATTAATATCAAAACACCATTCTACACAAAAAGTATTCAACATATACACATGTATCAATTCTTTTTTGCAAACCATCAGGTGTTTCTGAAAATATTACAAAATCAACAGGATCAGAACTTGATAAGAACTTGTATGGTAGATCATTTATCACCGTAAATGTACATTGTACCCAACAACACCAATGACTAATAAAGATCTCTAGGGCAACATTCAGCCTTCAACAATAGAGAGGTGTTTATGCCATATGTCAAGCTGTAAATAATTAAATCACACCAAGTTTATAATATATCTAAATACTGGCAACTTGGTTTCCAAATCTCCTCATATCCACAATGAGTTATGACTACCTTATGAACATTTTGATACATTTTCAATTTTCCAGAAGAAAAAAAAATATTAAGATTGCACCTCTTTAAGACAGTGTTGATCTAACTTATAATAGGTCAATTGTTGGTTAGATTGAATATTATATATTGCTTCCTATGCATACATCTTTCACTATAGTATTATAGAAATATTTGTGTCAAAGACTACCTGATGGCAAATCAGGAAAAAAAATTGAATCTGAAAGTTCTGTAATTATCATTTTGCTAATAAAATGAATTTAGAGACGAGTTATATTTTAAACTATTGATGATTGTGAAAGAAATAAAATCTTTTCCATAGAATCATTTGCAGTTTACCTGTGGATTTAAACTTATGTCAGTTCTTTTGTCCCATTGAATTAATACAATAGGTATTGTTCTATGTGTAGTTTATTCACTGGGACCTTTAAATTTCTTCTAAGAGAAATCCATCACTCATTGATTAATTTACCTGAAGAAAAGTTATCTTCTAAGTAGATGAAAATACATGCATCAACTCCCAAAACTGCATGTGATGTTGTATTTATTCAATGTCAATGATTAGCACTGATTCAAACATTAAAAAGTGATTTCTTACAAATTTTCAATATTGTTCC